TTTTTATTTTTATTTGCAAATCAGGAAAAAATGAAGCGGGCGAATCCGTTAACCAAGAAATTAAATTGGTGTGGCCTTAGAATTTTCTAAACCTACCTTTGAGGTAGACCAAATACTAGTACTACATGTACATGTAGGTGATAAATTCAGTATGCATGCAAAAAAACAAGATCAAAAGAAACTTTGAGTGTTTTAAGCTGTGCTATCAGTTGTTAAAGTTTCTTGGTGATAAGGGTGACAAGCAATATTTCATTGACAACAGTCTTTATTTGAGGTACGCTAAGTCCGTGTGTACCCTACGATATAAAAGGCAGGGATCTCCCCAGAAATTTAGGACAGAATGGAGGAGGGTGCGAAATATCGGTAAATTTGACCAAAGAACCCTGGAAAAGGGTGTAAAAACACTAGTTTTGAAAATTAACAGGGTGGAGCTGAGATAAGGACTGGGTGGAGGAGCTCCACTGCTCCATTGTTTAGGGAGGTCCCTGAAAGGAAAATATAATGCATAACACATTGTGCAAAATATCTGGTTGCCCAGTTGCCCCGGGCAACCAAATTTTACTTGGGGCAACCTATTTTTGAACCTAGGTAGCCCAGTGTGCTACCTGAATTTTTAAGATACCCCCCCCCCCCGCACAAAATCATGCCCACTTGGCTTGCACCACTGTATCCGGCACATGCTTTTTAATTTTAGGTATTAATGGCTATTACTAGTATCAGTTATCTAAAGGCTGTTAGAAATATTGTCAAAGGCTTATGTATGTAACATTACTTAATTTGAGGAAAGTAGTAACTTATGGGTGGGGCAACCTAAAATTCTGATGGGCAACCTAATTTTTGCTCAAAAAAGTATTTTGTACACTGTAACACTTCAAAATCATTTCTAGCGATTCCTATAATGGAAAAGAATATACGGCAGTCGTTGATAGCATTCAAAATTTCCGGTTTCATGTATCTACATGCAAGTGCCGTATATATTCATAATCATAGGCGTAGAGCATATCATCAGTATTCCATACGGTACTTTTAATTTCATCTAGCCTTTAAAATACAGGAAGGCAATTGTCCTTCCTGGACAGTTTTAAATGCAGGTCACTAACCATCAAGGGTAGAATATGTATGAATGAGGTATTATCATGCATAGAAAATTGCCCATTAACTGGATCTAGAGTTTTCTAGTGTTGCGTATGATAGCCATCATGCCCTAAGTGGTGTCATTGAAGGTTATGGAGCCCCTGCATTGTCCTTGAATCCCTTGTAAAAAATACATAAAATCTAAATTCTACACAGGGCAACAACCTTAGGCCACATCAATTTAATTTCTTGGTTAACGGATTCGCCTGCATCATTTTTTTCTGATTTGCAAAAAAATAAAAAATTCAGAATCAACTGCAAATGCTCATACATGTATCTTGCCCTGAACAGTTGAAAACAGTCCTTTTCTTCCTAGTTACAACTTGCAGTTTTTCCATCTTTCAATGCAGTGGTATCGTTAAAAGTTCAAAATTCATTGTTTAAATTTTATATCGTACCATTTTGGGCCATAATAGGATGCATAGGCCTGTTTTTATTTTTATTTTTTTCACCCGCCTGCTCCATTATTTTTCTAGAAAAATCCGTTAACCAAGAAATTAAACTGGTGTGGCCTAAGTTAAGTGTCCTGTTAAAGTGACCTGCAGGCCACAAGCTAAAACTGACACCACTGCTTAACATGGGATAACCTCCTCAAAGGGTAAAATAACAAAAAGAACCTATTACAAAAGCAGTAATACGATACGGGTACGTTGGCCCCATATATAGGAGTATCAGCTTTACAGCTATGGCTAGATTGAGGAAAGATAAATTTGACAACCATCAACACTAAAATTCGTTGCCAACAGAAGATAGAATTCAACTTGGGAAGAACCAAATGTACTTTTTAGTAGAAACTTCTACTAAAACTATTTCTTGAAACAAAAATTGATCCAATGATGATTATACTTAATTTCATGATACTATATGAATATAAATATAATCTTGTAAACAGTTTGCAGAAAATTTGACCTCTGGTAATAGCATTCAGGAAATAACTTGTATGACCTTTATACCGTCAAGCTTCAAGCATACGTGCACAAGGTGACTTTGACAGAATGAGTCAGCAATACACTCTACATGTCTGAAAGCACATACAGGGCAAAATTAAACTGTGATTGCAAGTAGTGAGACAATTTGTCAATGGCAAGACTGATATAGCACTCATTTTTAAAGGCGAGTACATGTACTTATTGGAAACTGATAATGTTATACTAATTTGATAGCATTTCAGATTTCTTCATGCATAAATTCAAAGGATGGTGTGACACTGTTCTATGTAGCAAGCAGTATCTTTCCATTACTTGACAGAATTTTGCTGTCCAGACCAGATCTATGCATGCATCAAAAAAATTCTGCGCATGCAGTGCCTACAAGTATTCCCAAAAATGAATTTTGAGCCTTGCTAACTATAGATAAAAATTCCAGCACCAAGATTTTACTATCTTCTAACCTAAAACGGTTATTCAACAACCTTTCAAGCAACTTGGCTACAAAGTGTTATAAATAGATTTTGAAGTACAGCGGTATGTAGTGCCAGTCCCCGTGTCAATTTATTGTTTTACAGTTGGGTTTACCCATGCGGTTTTATTGTTATTGTGGTTGACACACTGTCAATGACTGACCGTAGTTCAAACTCTAGCTGCCCTGTCAAGATTCCTTAAGTGGGACCACTGCTTGGAGGAAAAGGTCAAGGCATTATGCAATCTTAAACTTTAAAGCAGCAAAACTGGAAATATTCTGAACCAGATTGCGAGGTATCAAAACTGGAAGTTCTGCTGCAGTACCAACAAAAGCCGCCAGGGGGCCCAAAATCAAATCATTTCTAGGTCTCATCAAGACCTACCCACCTACCAAGTTTCATGACACTGCATATTAAGCTTCTTGAGTTATGCTGTTCACAAACGGACAAACGGACAGACGAACAAACGCTACTGAAAACATAACCTTCTTGGCGAAGGTAATAAAGAAATCTTTGTGATATTGACACATACTGTTTCACATTAGCCCATTTCAATCAGTATTCCATACTTTGGGCATTGAAAACTACAGAAACAGGCCCCCTTTATTTTCTGGGTGGTACCCTAAAATCAGCCCAGGACCTTTCCAGTAACCATTTTCCATCAGAATTTTTGGAATTCTTGCTCCATGAGTGTTAATATATAATACATTGGAAGTAGTGTAGTTTCAACTCAGTGTGTAGATAAGTGACTAGAATATTGGCTTTGAAAACCGGTGCTCCAAGCCATAAAAACTGCATTGAATACCTTTAACATGTTCTTTTGAACTCCTTCCATAGTGACAGAAACATGAACAAACTTGACAGTTTTAAAAGTGTAAGTTCTTGTTTATGGAGACTTCTTATACAAAACATAGTCCTGATTCTAAAATTGAAACTTCACAACATTTTCAACATAGGGTTAGCAGTGCCAAAAGACTTTCGCAAAATTAGAATAAAGGGCTTTGAAATTTGCCTAACAAAATGCAAGAAATAGCATTTTTGAGGGTCAAACACTACAGTAAAAATTTCAACTTGCAAATACCTTAAGCATTAAAGGCTTACTACTACCATGCAACTTGAATTTTATGTAACTAAAAGATGCTTCTGAAAAAAGTACTTTGACAAGTTGTTATCTATTTACAGCATGTAGACAGTGTGCAGACCATTTTCTTATCTAAAGACTGTAATCTGAAATATGCAGGCCATGTTACTGGGCTAGACTTTGCTTACAATTAACTGAACATTTATCTATCATCACAACTAATTACATTATAATACGTTATGTGCAACAGAATGAATATGTGTACAGCATCTATTTTATGAGATACAAGGAAACAGTTTTAGAGCTCATTTCGTTATATAACATGTTTATGTTAGCTTGAGAGTTAAAAGATCCTCTTCAGAACATGTTTATATGTTGGTGCTGAATATAGTCATTGGTCCTTGGCCTTAGTTATATACATATTAGCTGGATTGTGCTTCAGTACAAAAAAAGGAAAACTGCTTACTTTGTCAACTTTGCAGTTACATGTATACACAACAATGCAAGGTGGGCTTTAGTAGTTAGGCTAAAACCTAGAGGTTCTTGGTTCAAATCCCGAGAACCCTCAAAGTTACGGAAAGCCATACCACAAGTTAGAAAACCCACCACACTTAATCAATTAGAGCACTGGGGTCCATCTTAATTCTTACTATGAAACTGTCAAAAATATAGTACTTAGCATATATGTCAAAAACATATATCACCTATATACATGAATCAATAAATTGTTATATTTTTTGGCATTTAACATGTAACAAAGATTGATAAGACAAAAATAAAAAGAAGTTTTGTTTCCCTTTACCGTGTATTTTTCTACCTTCCTATTAAATCCTAGCAACTAACCAATGTGCTAGCTTCACTTTCACCCCTGTAGGGTAATGACCTCTAGGCCAATGAAATTTACCCAAAGCCTGTCACTCAAATGTCAGGGCCAACCACATCACTCCTTACAAAACATAATTACCTGACATTTGACACTTGGCGTCTAATGTTTAACTTTAAGCATTGTCATGCCTATCAGTTAACAATGAGTTGTGCTTAAACAATGATACTGCAACTTTCACTAAGTCGCAAGCAATTATACACAATGCTGCTATTGTTTGAAATGGCTTTACTGTAATTCAACTAATTCATTGTCCCAACATTTACATAACAGGTAAGTACAGTAAATACAGCTATTTCTGCCATTTTACAGTTATGCCAATACTAGTAATGACAGTCTTTATGTCAATGAAGATTTGACATCAATGTAATGACATATACTTGTAAGGAAATTGTTACTCAAGCAACTGGACAGATTTGAAATACTGTGATTCAAGATACATTTGATTGTCACAGCAATAAGTTACACGTTTCAATTTGCAAACATATATAAAATGTCCTTACCTCAAAACAGCTCTAAGCTGGAGATCTAGTAGAGAAAGCAGAGGTTGGCAGTTGTACAGGTTTCCCATTCAATGTGATAAAACTACTGCTGGACCAACTTTTGGGGCCTGGAACAAAAATATGCAACATTCATTCAGTATAAATAACATGTTCATTGTTTTCAAGTTCTTAGTTTGAAGATGAAAGGAAAAGAAACCTACAGTGGGTGTCACTGGAAGACAGAAGAAAAATGTCCAGACTATGCCTGATGTACAAAATGACTAATAAACTGGTGGACATCCCAACTACCTAATACCAGCCCAGAAGAAATATCCATGCCTTCAAGTACCAGAGTTATCAACCATTTGAGGTGTTCAAGAATTCATTCTTTCCTAGAACTATCGCAGAGTGGAACTCGCTGTCACCAAGTACAGTAGGGGCATTGTCATTAGATAGCTTTAAATAATGTCTAGAGTTAGATGTTCAAGGTTTAGGTGTAACAAGTCGATCGGTGTAATATAGCCAGCTGCTGCCGCGTGCCTGCGAAGCTGGTGTATTACGCCGAAGGTCGTTTATACCGGCTATATACAGATACAGTTTCAGAAATAAATTCTTGCCATGAATTTAAAAGGAGTGAAAAACTGTAGCAAAATGCACGCAGGGCTCGAAATACTTTTTTTCTTCAAAATATCCTGCACTAACATTGAAAATTACCTGCACCAGACAAAGTTTTTGAACCTCTTGGTTTACCTGAACCATTCAAACTTTAAGAAGTATGCATCATACTAAAAACTGTTCAGAAACCACTGCAATATTATTTCAATTATAGTTTATACTCTGAATACTCATAGGTGGTAAGAGTGTAGCCTGACTAAACTCTACTTTTTGCCAGCTTCTTTCAAGCGCTGGACAAAGAGCTTGTGTACACAGGCTAGTAACGCGCGCGCTATCTATAGTGAATGCAGCAAGTATCCACATACCCCTACATGTATATAAGCCTAGCAGTACATAGACCAGTGCAGGTTAGGTGCAGGTAGACATCAGAAATACCTGCACACCCCAATTTTACCTGCACGAATGTATTTCGAGCCCTGCCATGCAATACATTATCATCATAAGAAATATGTCTCAGTATACATGTGTGAATAGTTGGTTTACACCTGTTCAATATTTAACCCACCAGGTGTCAGTACATTCATGCTATTTGCACCTGGCAACAGTATACGTAGGTAAGTGTGTACTTTTGGAGGACAGTTGTGTTCCTTTCTGACATGTGAGTGACGGCACTCAAGCAGGTTAAATTGAGCCGAACACATCTGGGAACAAGTTATATAAATGCATGCAGCATTTTCAGGAACTAGTATGGTGTTGCATTCTTACACCTCCATGCAATAGTTTTTAAACATTTGCATGTTAAGTAGAAGATACATGTACATGGATGACACTACTAGTTGCAAGAATAAATTTACTCAAATAGGTTAACTTATAATATAAATTAGACAAGGATTGAATCTTGTATCAGGTACACTCAGTAGATGGAAGAATCCACCAATCAGAATCAAAAGTTCATCCAATACGAAAGTTTACGCAACTCTGTCAAATTTTAAAACTTTTTTTTCAGTTCTGTTTTGCATATCTACAATTTGCTAGTACATTGCTACCAGTGACACTTAAAACTTGGACAAAGGCAACAGCTTCAAAACAAAATCTTAAAAATGCACAAAAAGCAGCTAAAATGACACTTGAGCACTTTCATCAGCTTTTTTTAAGCTGATTAAAGTAATTTTACATAAAATTGCACAAAGTGCCCTTTAATAAACAGACAACAGATAATACATATTCATTTTTCTACAGGCAACACCTACCAAAATACATATTAAAAAGCCATTCATGTAGGAACTTGTTCCTTTGTTTGGTTCTACAGCTACTCAACTACCAAACTAACAACTGTTAGTCGCTGATCCAGATCAAAACATATCCTTGATGTCTAAACTTTTCTAGTAAACTCGTGACAAAAACTCGATAAATGCATGTACCGTTAAAAGTTACATATGAAATTTGTACATTGGGAAAATCAGGGCCACAATTGAGCACAAGAATGAGAAAATCCGGTAGCAAACATACTGGAATGATCCTGTGCTACCCTGAAATAAGTGTGATTATTATAAATGTCTCTAAAAACGGGAAAGATTGCAGCAGTGTTTAAAAGCCATATGTTACTTACAACTAACGTTACCACGTAGCGTGGCTTCTCTTTGTCTTCCCTCATTTCGATTAGCTTGTCTAGCTTGATTTTCCCTAAAAAAACTCTCCCTAGACTTTTTGAACCCTTGTATGCGGTCTATTTCCTATGTTTAACGGAGCTATATGTGTTAAAGGTGTGTAAAACGCCGGTAAAATGTGGAAAAGAGGCGATACTTTACCTGGTAGGGAGTTCGTACGCCGACATCGGGCGACAGGCCGGTTCTACGCAGCTGAGGAAGAAGGGTCATACCATTCAAAAAAGTGGTTGAGTCTCTAATTATTAAATGTTGCAGCTTTCTTACGGCCTCTTACATCCAACATCGAGAGTTATAACATATGGAACATACAAGTAATGCGAATATTATTCGAATACAGTGATATTTATTGTACGTATGTACAAAATAAACAAAAAATGTAAAATTTAGGTATTATTTTTCCCCATCAACATAGTGGACAAGTCCGTGCGTCATCATGGCGGCTGTTCAGACAGTCGTGACACTAGAAGGGCATCAAAACATGGCAGGATTCCTCGATAATTTACCTCTGATAAACATTTTTACAGTGAAAGGAGTAACAAAGAGATCTTTGGGCTACCATACAACGTTCAACATTCGGATGGATCTTAGTAGTTGTTGAGATTATGACGTTTTTATTCCGCTCCCGTACCTGGAAACACACTGAAGCAAACGTCCTTCTCTTGACCTGACAGCCAACTTTCCTTGGCGTCGACCGACTTTTACCCTCATGATTGGTCGGCACGAAATGGGTGGAGCATGAAAGAAAACCCGCGAAGTTTTGAAATATAAAAGTTTGTTCCGAAGTGCTTGTTGAATTTGGATAATGCAGGAGCTTTAAATCCATGTAAAAGGGTGTAACATTTGATATGCATTCGCGTTGTTATGCATGGATACGGCTTGGTTTGAATAGAGCTGATTGAATTTCAGCTTGCATCGGTGCTCTCCCTCTTTTAAATTTAATATTACAGATTCTTACAAAGAATTATTTTGTTTCTGCATGAGCTACGGATGATTTTCATGATTTTTTTTTTCCAAGCCTTGGGTTTGTGATGCCTCCCGTTGGCTTCTGGTGTGGTCTTTCTCCTGATCTGTCAAGTCGTTGCAATTCGTAAACTAACCGCAAGATGGGGCTGATGAACGGTCATCAACTTTTGTTCATATACATTATGTATACCAGTATTCTGATCAGCCGAGAAACTCATGGTTTCATTGACTGTTACTCCGGTCTTGACCTCAGCGGAGTACTAAAATTGACATGGTGTTGACTTGAGGAACAGGTTGCCAATTTTGTCAATCTGCCTTTGCGTTTGACACTATTGCCTATCCCAATAGTGTCTTAATTGTGCGTAGACGCCATATTATAGATCTACCTATTGTCGGGCAAAAAGTTTGGAAAACTAAACTTTTAAGTTTTTAAGAGACAGCTCGATCACTCAACGGAAAAGTACTTATCATAGACATTCCTGTTTTGAATAGATAGTTTATTCATTTTCTTTATATATACAAGTACTCAAGTATACTAGTAGTATACTAGTATTCTCTCTAGAAATACCTCTTTTATACACGCACCTTGTATGTTTCTTCATGTAACTCCTTACCCCCTCCCATACTCCCATACGAAATTGCCGTATAGCAATTTGCGACTAGTGTGACTGGTATTTGCATACCATATTTTGTTATTCGTCAATTTTCCATCAATCAAAAAAGTCAAAGCGTATATTTTCTCTTTATCCTTGTCACCCCACAACTTGAATACACACCTACCAAGAACAGCTACTCAGTATATTATACATCCTGTACATAATTACGTACATGTGTATACTCCATTACTGTACATAGTAAAAATGACTAGTCCTGACAGAAGTCTCTGTTTATTTCATAGTATATGACCATAGCCTAACTCTTTAATCCGTGTATTAATAAAGTAAACAAAAAACAATGGGCTTTAACGTTCAAACCATAACATTTTGCACTTTTGTACCGACACATCATGTATACCATATAGAAAGTGATGCTAATCTCTATAATATCAATTTTAGTATGCCTATAGCTACCCCCACACAATAAAGTAGTTAAAGAAAGACCAATTTATAATCTAAGTTGAACATTGTTATGGTGTAATTTTCCTTTACTACGCTATAAGAGAATATTGGTAGTTCTGGATTCCTCTTGCCAAGAGACAGGCAAAAACGATCCCAATAACCTGTAAAAACACATGGAACATTTGGGGTTATTATAGAAAAGGGTAGATACAAACAATTGCCTGTTAACGACAGAATATGTAAATATTGTACAGGAAACGCAGTGGAGGATGAAATGCACTTTATTTGTCATTGCCCTCATCATAGCACCGAAAGAGATCAGTTATTTGAAATGGTCACCAAAATGTTCCCCAGCTTTATTCACCTTCCCAGCCTACAAAAAAACTGCATTTCTATTAACACCTCCCAATTCATATATCTCGTAAAATGTCGGGCATTTCATACTCCACTGCACACGGAAAAGAAATCAAACCCAACAATAACTACAAAGTAAAGTAGCATTAGCATTACTTATTATCATTTTACTGTTGTTATCATGTTCTTGCAATTAGCCCCCGGGCATGAATTTGCAATAAACTTTCTATATTAATTCACGATTGATCTTTTTAGAATACCTTGATATTAACATCAATGCGTAGAAATGCAAGTATTAATCTTATAAACAATATTTCTTCATTGCATGACCAACAATGCTTATAATAAATTGAACCATATACATGTAGGTGAGTTAAGCCTATGTGTATGCATGTTAATCTATTATACATATAAATGTTTCATTACCTGAACGAATAATAAGAGGATTCCCAACACTGCCACGGTAGTCAAGTGACTTTTTACGCCACTTTCCAGCTTGTTCAAACATCCCTGAAACAAAAAACACAAAAAAAACGTTTCTTCGCTTTGCAAAACCTATAAACATATACTTCACACACACACAAAAAAAACAACATTTGATGCTTACCTCTGCTCTTCAAGTTTTGGGGTATTTTGGCGTGTTTTGGGGCGTTTTTTAATCGGGTTTTCTTTGTTACACTGGAATTTTTTTCACCCAACCCAACAAAAATTCCAGTGCAAAAAAGAAACCCCGTTAAAAAAAGCCTAAAAACGCCAAAAATACCCCCAAAAAAACCTCTGCTTGGATAGTAACCTACCTCGGTGTTGATTGCCTGCGCTACACTATTTTTGGCGTGTTTTTAGGCTTTTTTTAAATCGGGTTTTCTTTGTTACACTGGAATTTTTTTCACCCAACCAAACAAAAATTCCAGTGCAAAAAAGAAACCCCGATAAAAAGCCTAAAAACGCCAAAAATACCCCCAAAAAACCTCTGCTTGGATAGTAGCCTACCTCGGTGTTGATTGCCTGCTCTACAGTTGTACCATTCCCCAGGTCGGCTCCACAGGTGTCGTTGGGAGCGGCCAGGTCGAAGTTGACCAGCGCGGTGATGCAGCACGACCCTGGGACACTCAGGCCGCTGCTGCCGTTCAACTTCTGCTGCGGGAACCCTGAGTTCTCCCACTCCGTGTAGTTTTCGACTCCACAACACTGCAGCTGTAGTTTGTATTCAAAACAAAAAAACACTGATGCTAAAGCAGGCTCCGCCCCTAAGGCGTCGGCAAAAATGACGATAAAGTGGAGTCAAGTTCCGAGGGCTTGCATGGGGGTTCCCCACAACGCTCTACGCTAAATTTTGACAGCCGGCTACGTACTACGCTGAATTCAGGAATCCTCCCCATTACGTCTTACGATAAATTCCGGGTAGCTACAATGCATTACGTAGAATCAAAACATTGAATTACGCTCTACGTAAAATGCGCCAATTACGCTCTACGTTGAATTAGAGCGGTCCGTCAACGCTCTACGTAGAATTAAAACGCCCGATTACGCTCTACGGAAAAGGGCTTGCGGGCCAGTAGAATATCTTAAAAGTTACATGTATTTTGTGAACATAAATAAGCACACCTTTTTCTGCACCAGGTCGAACGCTTTCCTGTTTGAAGGGTTCCAGCCCCTCAGAAAATCCATGAGATCCTCCTTTATTCTGGACCGAAGCTGATATAAGCATGGAGGTAAAAAAAATGTCAATTTTTATGTCCATGATAGAAGGTAAACGGCAAACGGTCATCTTAAACCTAGCAATATAGGAGATTAAAAAAGCAAAGTTTTAGTGCAATGTGACTTCGATACAACTATTGTTTTCAGTCAAGTTCGAGTCACGTCAGACAACGATCAAATAGATACATCATATAGCTATGGTTTGGGCTAAAACAGTGTTGTTGAAATCGTATGTTTTAACCACAGAGATTTAAAATGAGCTAAGATTTTATAGACATCTGAAACCTGTATACACAATGGAACGTTATCTTCACATCAAAGACTTCGATGTTAGATCTGCCATATGTAAGCTTAGAGTTAGCGCTCATACATTAGAAATAGAAAAGGGTAGATACCAACAATTGCCTGTTAACGACAGAATATGTAAATATTGTACAGGAAATGCAGTGGAGGATGAAATGCACTTTATTTGTCATTGCCCTCATTATAGCACCGAAAGAGATCAGTTATTTGAAATGGTCACCAAAATGTTCCCCAGCTTTATTCACCTTCCCAGCCTACAAAAAACTGCATTTTTATTAACACCTCCCAATTCATATATATCGCAAAATGTCGGCCATTTCATACTCCACTGCACACGGAAAAGAAGTCAAACCCAACAATAATTACAAGTGTATATATAAAGTAGCATCAGCATCACTTATTATCATTCTACTGTTCACTGTTGTTATTATGTTCTTGCAATTAGCCCTCGGGCATGAATTTGCAATAAACTTTCTATCTTTAAAATGAGAATCGTTTTAACACACACGTTGAGTTGTCCATCATGTTAGGACCACTGGTACAAACTCTAGAGAAGAAATCACTACATACTTTGCCCCTCATCTGGAAACCTAGTATTCCTCCAATCAGTGTCAGAAGTAGAAGAATGGACAGAATTCCAGCATACTGGAACACAAAACGTTACAATAATTCACATGTTTGGGTTTGAAAAACTTTGCTTTATTTTACATATGCATGATATCGATAAACGAGTGAGTGAAATTAAACGGCCAGAAACACCTATTTTATCAATATCAATAATCATCTCATATTAATTTATCTCTTATAATAATCTGTATCTATGTCAATAAAATCATAATCAAAATTTATTCATGGTTGAAAGAAAGGTCGATGTAAAGAAGAAGCCGTTACGTCATCCAAATAAAGTAAAAATAGTCGCACATTTTTAATGCAAAAATACATGCAAAATTACTTGTATATTATAGAGTCTTGTAAACACCATTGAACCACTAGCCTGATTTTTTAGTCTGCAACATTGCAGGTTGCATAAAAAGTTTTTCTTCTGCAATATTGAAAATGTCTCTGCAAAATGCAGACTGCAGATGGGTATTTCTAACAATGTACATGTATTCAAATAGGAAAATACATTAAAGAATGCTTCAATCTTAGAGAACACATGTTAGAGAATAGTTAAACCTTTATTGTTATCACTGATATATATTCTGTACGTAGTTTGTCACATACATACATTCTGTACGTAGGATGAAGTCATCCATACTTGTAAATAACTTTGTTAGATCTCTTAGTTGTAGAAGACCATACAAAAGTCCCTGTACTTTTTTGTTGTGTCAATAAAGAATCTGTATACTTACAGCTTTCAGAAGATACACATTGTCCTTCTCAGCTCCGTAACACCCGACCACGGTCACAACACAGATGATGAGGCCGACCACGAGGAGGAGAATCTGCGAGACCGGAATGTCGGACCTGCTGAAGTCAAACACGCCGTCCATCCACGTCAGGGAAGCAGCGGCCACAACCATCAACCCAAACCCCGCCACCTAGCGGAAAGGTAATGAAGTGCAGCTGTCTAAATGTTTTTGCCTCTCGGAAAAATGGTTGTCTGTCAACGGATACAGGAAGTTGCTAGCCTCTACCAGGCGCCGCGGATCGCTGGAAAAATAGTAGAAATTGGCCGAAATAAAGGTCGCGAATTGGATCTTCTGTGGCCGGCTACCTCCCCTGGTATATTATTCCTTTATTTCGACCAATTTCCACTATTTTTCCAGCGATCCGCGGTGCCTGGTAGAGGCTAGGAAGTTGCGAAGGTCTCCCATGGACAATTTTCAAATGAAGTAGTCCCTAACAACGCGTCGGTCACAACAACAAGTTTCCTATTCACATGCCAAAATCGAATTACAGTACACGAGAGTTTGTTGACATACCACTCAATCTATTTAACTTTTCAAAGTAAAAACAACGTCGCTACAAAGTGAAGGCGCTACCGTGACATAGCAAATAAAATTCCTTTCAAGCTACACCAGAAATAATTGTTGCAACACCATACCAAGAATAGATAGAAAGATTATTTGAATAATAAACGAACTATTTTGACCTTATGATATTATAAAGGTAAGATAGTGTAAGCGTGCGTGTGTTACGCCCCTAATACTTGTCAGTGTTTATAAAAACACGTGCTAAAATCATGATATAACACGATAACATGTTTCGATGTGTTCCGTGCGGTCTCTATATGTTGCTGTCAATAATGATAATTTGTGAATATGAGTATAAGGCCTATTGTATCATGATCAGTTCTGTTGCACGAAAAGTGGTCCAAGACAATATACATGTATGTCGATGAAGGTTAGACTCAGTCACTGACGAAAGCTAGTGGATACTAGCTGAAACGTCTGACGTTTCCAAAATCATATCCAGTTGTTTGAGTAACTGCTTTTTGGCGTAATATACATGTATGTATCACAATCACCCGAGGCAACAACGAAAAAAATGCCATGCATCAGCAAATCTGTATATGCATGTGTTGTGTTATTTTCTTCATAATACGATTATTGTTATAAACTAGAGAAGTAACATTTGCAAAGCAAATGCATAATGTTAACCTTCGGACATGGTCTGCTCTGTTAATTCTTACTCAAACACATTCACATACATGTACTACTAGTATATGGTGACAGGAGTAGAGCAGACTATGAAATTGCAACATTATGTAACCCAACACCAGTCACCATGGTGACAGACGTCAACAAATCATGTCATTGGTCAGGTCAGAGGTTAGTGTTTGGAACAGAAGAGGAGGAAGAAACTGAGTAAAAACAATATGTTTTCCTTCGGTAAACATAACTACGTAAAATTGTAACTTAAATGTTTGTTAAGTCTTTAGTCTTATAGTCTTTTGTTACCTTTCACAGAAAATAAGTGGTAGAAAAATGTATAAAAGTATATACTATATAAAAATCACTGACCAAAGCAATGGATTGTTTTCAAAACGGAAGGAAAAATAGCAAGCAATCGTTTTGTATATACAGATAGAAATCCGCCATCTTTGAAAATGACGTAACTAGACAGGTGTTGTCTGTGTCTATATTTAGAAGTATCTACTCACGAAGAAGACGATGTTAAACGCGATGAGACAATATCTCATCATCTGATGTCCGATTCCAAGTTGCTCCACCGTCATTTTTGGATCTTGTAGAGGCCGCAGTGGAGGAGAGAAGTCAACACTGTCCATTACATGTCTACCTAAACACGTTGGCAGTGTTTGGGACGAGACCCCTTTGGAGGGTCTACGTGGGTTTTTATTGGACCATGTTTTCATGGAATTACGTTCCAATAAGTTTAAGAATTAGCTGTGACACAAGCGTATGAAAAAGAACTTTAAATTGTATCGCTAAGATTATAGTAGTGCTATACCTGCAAACAGAATGTATGGGTTATTCTTCATAGATTGGTTAATGCGGTGTACGTGACAACCCTACTAGACCCCCACCCCGGAAGTCGTTCAACCTGTTCCACCTGGTGTGGACTGTACCATTTGGGATAATGTCAGCAGCGGAGGGGTGTGACAATGGCTTTGTGAGTTTTATGAAAAATGATTTTTCATGGACACTTACGGTTGAATTTATTCTTGATTCCACAAGTTCTTAGCATCGTATACAAGAAAGACAAAGAAATTTTGACGAGCATATACTAGTATGTCATAGAAAAATTAAATAATAACGACGATGATGATTATGATAGTCAAAATGATGTCACTGTCTTCAGATTCAAACGCTTATTCCTTAACATAAATGATGACACCATAGAATCTTGTTAATGATTCTTTAATATATATGTAATATACACAACACGATTCGCCCATTTCTAGCTCTAACTGCTGATTGTTCACAAAAAACATTTTTGACCTTTTCCAAAAACCCGTTATATACGTCTTTTATACATTTTCTACCCACTAACTTCTTACTAATTTTATCCCAATTTTGTCCCAGCACAATGATTCTTGTACAGTCGTATATTCAGTATCGAATGACGATAAAACAGACCCTTCACATAAGAGCCAGACACTCCTTGAAGAAAAACATGAATCAATGATCGTCTTCTAGCAATCATGTTCTTAAGAAAGTCGTCTAAGAAAATAAGAAGCCACTAAAGTATGTGACCCAAAGTTCGCATCACACAATGTGTTTTCATGCACCTGCTCACCCGACACTTTTATAATACTGTACATGTAGAACTGTGTAGATGTCGTACATAGTCTAAGTGCGCCACCTGGCGATCTACTCGACAATCACATTGTCATCATTGATTAAGCTCAGCCTCTTGTACTTCCGCTCGGCCAGGTACTGGTCGTGCTCTTTTCTCCTGGCTTCTCGCATGAAGCAGCATGCGTACAGAAGTCCCAACATCTGCACAGAAAATGTAAGAAAACGTTCAATCTATGCCTTTAGTCTTTAGTATACAATTAGGTCAAAGATATTGATAAAGTTTTAAGAGAATGACAATATATAATGAAAATGTCAATATCAATAATGTAATGTATGCTAGTAATTTATATTAGAGGTACATGTAGTAAAGACACTTGTTTGGTCATTGTTGTATTATCAAAAAAATGAAAACTGGCTTCGCATATTTTCATTGAAATTTTTGAAGGATAAATACATATTCAAACAAGAAAAACGACAAACACAAACGGCCCACTGCAGTAACGTAGGGACCCCCCACGAAGCATATTTTTTTACTTGACCTTGGTCCTGTACAGTAAACTGTCTGCCAAAAATCATAAACATCGTCTTCAAGAATTATGCCGCATAGTCTTCCACACTATAGCAAAACGATATCATAGCCTTCTCATGAAGGCAAAAATTGCTTACCTCTAACAAGGCCAGTGTTGCCACCGCCACTTCCAACCGCAGAATGTGTTTCATGACGTGATCGTTCGTGGCCTGTACACAACCCTGCACGCAGCACAGAAAACATATGAGATAGTGGCTCACTCACGTACCGTGGCCGAACAGTACACACCTGTGTCGTTTGCGCAAATACCTGCAGACTACGTAGCTTTTTCCTGTGCAGACGACGCAAGTGTGAACTTCTCGGCCACCGTACTTACAAGCACAGTTGTCATGACATCGTTTGTCCTTTGAGTTACCCATAGTACCCCGCGTCTCCCAGAATACAACGGGGTCCGTCATATATCTATGGTAGAAGGGCCTATTAATAATATGACAATCTTTATTGAAGAAAATATGGCGACTTTCATAAGGTCTAGACTACAACTAAACATACAAACAAGTGGATACAAATATATGAAAAATTATTTTAAAAGGCCTGTTTAAAAAAAATGGAAAAATTGTCTGGGGGTATTTGTCATTCTACCTCCATGCCAAATTTCAGGTCATTTGGCTAAAAAATGAGAGTTGAATCCATGAAAGTTGGAGAAGGAGGAGCAACACGAGAGAAAACAATATATTTCATCCATACCATGGTATGGAGTGAAATATAATCAATAGAAGACTACTAAGGCTACATCGCCTTATAAGAACAAGTCCGATTCCTTACCTCTGTGTGAACCTTTTTCTTGGCGATGCCTGGTGTCTCTAACCCAGCCCCACAACTCGGGGTGTATGTCCCAAACGTGCCGTTTTCTTTTTTGTCACACAGTTTTTTCAGGCTGTTTAAATGATAGAAAAAAATCAAAAGAATCGATGTAAAAACAAATCAATTGTTTGGATGATTAGACAATAATGGTTCTATATGGATTTTCCTACATTAGAATAAGTGTCCAGTAAAGTCATGTTTCTGGAGTCTTTTTTTGCGACGCCTCAGGGACGGAGCCTTCTTTATAATATTGTACGCAACGATTTTCCAACATTAGGATAAGTATCCAGTAAAGTCGTGTTTCTGGACTTTTTTGGCGACGCCCCAGGGACGGAGCCTTCTTTATAGTCTTGCACGTAAAGAGGTAAATGACTATGGTGCATTTTGAGAAATATGGTACCTGTCTAAAGAGAGAGGAAAGCTGGTGTTTTTACAGCAAGATGGCGGCACGGCTTTGGGCCCGAGAGAGGCCGTCCTGGGATGGCCGAACCAGTCTTGGTACCCTTTCACTCCACAGCACTCAAACTGTAATAGGAAAAACAATCAAACAAACATTTATATCTAAAATCCTACCGACAAAGTCAAACTACGGTACGTAAGAGACTGGTAGGGGTTGGTGTGTTGCATCAGTACTGTATACTAAGTTTTGACTTCTTAGCATTATGTTTATGGATGGTATATAGAAAACAAACAGAAAACGTCACTAAAGTTCACCTTGTTTTGAATGATGTCAATCATGATCCTCTCCGGTCCTCTTGCTTTCATCGTGTACGTCAGTAAAGTTTCCAGGTTCCTGGAGGTCTGTAATGTGAAAAACATTTAAATTTAACGGTCACATTCTCTCAACCAATCACAGCTCATGTCACTGCAGATATAGCAGAGAAATGCATCATGGGAGGATAGATACTGTGTAATGTTTCTAATTTTTTTGTTCCCATGAAATGGGAGGTGTCTGTTTTTTGTTGTTGTTGTTGTTGTTGTCTGGATGATGTTTACATGTAGATGTTTATCTCAAGATCCGTGAGACGGAGTGCGATATTTGGCAGGTGGGTAGGTAGGTGGGGTGAAGTGGATGGTGTAGGTTGACTTTGGGGGCCCCTGTTGACTGACCTTGGTAATGCAGTAGGATTTTCTTCAATAGATTACAGTAAGCCACGTAACTTAAAGCACTATCAAGTCCCTGGAATCTATGCTTATTCGTGAAATACACAATGTATCCACAAAATAGATCCTTTTTTTTTAAATGAAGACCAGCTTCTAATTTTTACCGTGAATTGTTTTTATACTCACCGTATTTAGCAGGTGCACGGCTATAAGTGTGGTGACTGCGGCGCTCGTCAGGATAAAGAGGAAGCCGATTAAGAAACAATACTGGAAAAAAAAGACAAAACATGTCATTTGTAGCAGATTTGTGGGCGGAGCTTATAATTACTGCACTATGATTAGGGACCATCCCAATTTAATGTTCTGATAGAAATCGACGTAATTTAATTCGTTTCCATTTTCTTATCTAATAAACAGTGATAAGGGGCTCAGACCTGCAATTTAACAAGAAATGGATTCAATGTACAAATTACAAATATAGCTCCGACTAGCGGCTTTCAGCAGTATTGCAACATGACTTCCAGTTTTTATATCTTTTGTCCTGAACATGCTATATGGTCATCATTTTTCAGTGGCGGATAGCTCTTGGACTCGAGAAGAATTGTTATAGATTTGGGACCCCTAGCAGCTGTACTTCGGAACTGCAGTGGCATTTTTATTGGAGGCTTCATAGGAGGATCGCTTGGTATTTTCGTTTTACGTATAGTCTTTATTGCCTTTATTAAGATACCCTGGCTATTCTTACATGGTTGCAGATTACACACATAAATGACTTTTACATTATTTACAAACGATAAAATGTAGTTAGTTTATTTTCAAGCGTTAACAGACTTACCGCCAAGGAGAGATAGTAGCTCTCCTTCCACGCGGCGAAGCAGCCGACCGTCCCTGTCACGAACAGGAGACCCCCCACGACGAGACAGGTGTTCCGGAGAGCGATGAAGTCTACCGCGCCGTCGGCAGTTGAGTAGTCCTGAAGGCACGCCTCAAACCTCAGGAAGGCGGACAGGGAGGCAACGATCAGCAACGCTCCACCCACCTGTGGGTCCGGGGAAGAAAAAAAGTCGTGCGATGCACTTGTCAATCAATTAAACGGTCAAGAGTTACGGTGCAGTTGATTGGCTATTTATTGATTGGCCTCAAACCTCAGGAAGGCGGACAGGGAGGCAACGATCAGCAACGCTCCACCAACCTGTGGGTCCGGGAAGAAGAAAAAGTCGTGCGATGCACTTGTCAATCAATCAAACGGTCAAGAGTTACGGTGCAGTTGATAGGCCATTTTTTTTCATAATCTCTTAACCAATCATAGCTCATGTCACTGTAGTTACTGAAGCAATGCATCGTGGGATGATAGATGCTAAGTTCCTAATTTTATACAAGTAACCCATAATGGACTAATGGACACACTTCTGGCCAATGGATACTGCCTTACCATCGTATGATCTGTTTGGAGATTGATTTTTTTTAAAGTTTAAACCGTTATGAATATTAGTATACAGTATTTTAAGGGTAAAACAGGCTCATCTAGTCAGTGTTTCTATATACTTAATACTAGACATACTAGTATCTTCTGTACGATCTGTATACTGGTGTATAGCCCGTATAACCGCTTTTCGGCGTAACACACCAGCTACTTACTTACGTAACACAACAGCTACTTACTATCTTACTCATGTACACGTTTTTAACTCATGAAAGCCAACAGATGTCAACTACGATGAATATAAATATAAAATCATGCATGTGTAAAAATTAAAAGATTGACCAACAGTTGAACGTACACTACAGAATAGATAGTCTGTACACCTACACGTCAGCTTTTCAGACAACTACCATCTATTGACTACACAACTACTAGTCGTTTACAGCCTAATCGTGAAGAACTATAAAGCAGTAGTACTACTCACCATGTACATAAGGTTGGTAGACAGCAGAAGTAGTTGTAGACACCCCATGTAGCCAGGGTTGTGAGGCTTGTACCTGGTCAGCTTTTCTTTCGCCATTTTGGACGACTGTCTGAATGACCCGTGGGACTTAGCCTGTGAAGGTTCTCTCACACATTAAACTGTTGCTCATCTGAATACTAGTAGAGTTGTCGGACAAGTCGTAGGGGTTAAAGGGACATTCCATTTTTTTACTCGGGGGTGCAAATGATTACATAACGATTACATAACAGAAAATGAAGGCCATTTGAGCTAGTACATAGCGATACATTGTTCTTTATAATGATAACGTGCATTTTAGCGATAAATACTAAATAATATGTACAAGCAGGCCAAACAAACGTAGTGAGCGACAAAGAATCTGTATTCTGTACACTGTAACTTTTGCTGCAGACACACTGTAAACCGCTAGACGGCGCTAACCTGCAGTACCTGTTCTGTGATCTACTAACTGTGGGTCATAGTTCACAGAACTTTTAAACCTCGCGTTTGTTCTCTTTCACGCGTGTTTTCGAGTTCTGTCTACTCAGCGCGTACTTGTAAGCCTATTCAAGCATGTCTACAGGACAGAGGCTACTGAAGATCGAGCCGGGACGAGACCGAGCAGAGACCGTACTCATGAAGGGAGCCGACACGGAAACAGAGGCGCGGATCCCCCGCCACAACCCCTTCCTCATTACCTGCTTCAAATATCAGCTGCTCGTCTTCAACTTAGTCTTTGTGGTAAGTACGTACATGTGCTTTTCTTTCTGCATATACAAATTAAAGCTGAGCATTTAAAAAGAAGCAACGTATCAAAATATCCAGGTATCTACTAGGTGTGAATAATCTTCGGCAACATTTTTGGTTAGCAAAATACTCGTGTGTAGGATTTCTTTCTCAAAATTGTTTTGAAGTGGCTTGTAATATTTTTCTTTGTTGTTGTGTTTTGTTTTGTTTTGTTTTGTGGGTGTTTTGGTACATGGTGTAACAACTAACATAAGGAATATGGTGAATCTAGAAAACGGGTCCTGACATATAAGATATAACTGTTGTTTGCGGTTGAATAAACTGATGCAAAAAATTAAGCATTTAAATATCATATTCGCACTAGAGAAAAGTGTTTTGGGTATAGGTATAGGTAAAATATATCTTTAGAACAGATTTCAACAGCTGGCGCCTAGCATTCTTGGAGTGTTGAGTCAATACGTGGTTCACTTAACGTGGTAATATCAGCGATGTTTGCCCAAGGTTTACCCCGGACATGCTCTGTGCACGGTGCAGAATTAGTCATGTATTTACCTGTCCATGGGAAGATAACAGACGTGTGAACTTAAAAATGCGTGACAAATATGCAGTATCTTATGTCAACACTTCAAATAAATGGCACGGGTCTCGTATCATACATTACTAATTATAAACATGCCGTTATCTTAATTATTATGTCGTCTTAACAAAATTTTTAGTCTTAAAAAAATTGTCGTTGTTTCACCTCAAAATGGTGTGTTTAGATAAAAAAAAGTAGATCATAAGCGTATTTTAGGCGAAGTTTCTGTCAGGACTTTCATGTTCTACATCAAGTATAAAAATGCCGTTATCTTAATTGTTATAGTTTTAAAAATGCCGTTGCTTCACCTTAAAATTGTGTGTTTAGTTAGAAAAGTAGATTATAAGCGTATTTTAGGCGTAGTTGTGTCAGGATTTTAATGTCCTACATTACGTATAAAAATGCCGTTATTTTATATTAATTGTTTTGTAGTATTAAATTTCGCCTTTGCGTCAACTCAAAATGATGTATTTACATTAATTTAGTCAGAATAATGCATAATAAGCGTATTTTAGGCCTAGTTTCTGTCAGGATTTTTGAGTTGCATCTTTTTTTCCGCTCCGATGCACCTGTTATCGTCTGCAGACGCGGTCCGCCATGACACCTGTGAGAAACTAGTTCAACCAGTCTGTCACTCAGACTCATTTCAGACGATAAATTGTACACAGTGGGCGTTTGTTGTTTGCCCGGTCACAGACACATGTGCTTAGTGACCTGTAAAATATTTGAACGCACTCATTTATAAAATCTAAAACAGTAGAACTGTTGTTTTTTTACATGTAAGACACAACTGGGCAGTGGCCATCATCTCATGTGCTAGCTCAAGCGTTACAAAAAATTATTATTTCCACTGAATTCTTCACTCTTTACGAGTTATTCTAAACATTTTTTGGTTCGTCGATGAAGGTTAGACACCCAGGTAATACGATACGCCAAAAAGCAGTTACTCAAACAACTGGATATGATTTTGGAAACGGTCAGACGTTTCAGCTAGTATCCACTAGCTTTCGCCAGTGACACATTTTTGGTTGTTTGGGGAAAATTGAGCATTTCATCGGTGACTTTATGACCCGAGTTGTTTATGTAAACGGAAACGGTTTATTTATGTCTACACAGGACGTTTCTGGTGAAAGAATTTGACTTCGTGACTTCCTTTCTAAAGGCGCACCCGCGTTGCACTTCAGTAGATTAAGTCTCGCCCAAGCGATCAAACAAACTAAGTACCACCGGTACATAGCGAGTCATTCAACCCTACCGATTCAGACATCCTTTTTACTAAGAAGTCCTCGCTTGAAGGCCTTCCGCTTGTTCTCGGTATTTGGTGTTAGCACAAAGCCTGTGTAAGTCGTCCAACAGTCGAAGGGGTTAACCAGTGTGTCGGTAGCATGGAAAAGGCCCTCCCGCATTTTGACAGGGACGAACCGTTAACAACAAGAAGGGGTAGATGCATATGCAGATAGCTACGAAGTATGACAACTATGGGCTAATGATACTAAGGTAGTCTGAAAATGATTTCTATAAAATTGTACTGTATACAAATGCAGGATAATAAAGCAATATTCGTAGATGGTAAAAAAATCATACAAAGAGGTTTCAAAATATAGGCTTTAGAAGCAACAACGCAGAGGGAACATACATAAATACAGAAGAACAGGTGAAAGGCACCACCGATTTGAGCCCATCCCCCGAAGACACTGGCGGTCGATCCCTTACCAAATACTGTACGGTCCCCAAATTGCCAACAATAAGCCCATTGTAAACATCATATTGTGAAAAAGCTACTGCACGTCTAGCAGGAAAGACCTGAGCAAAGACGCAGGTGCTCAGGTCAAGTGCATTCAAAACATGGCAACAGTGACGTCATGTTTAGTCTCCCGACAGTGCATTAACGCCACCTACCTGTTTTCACCAGATTGCAGGCACCGCGCTTCTCTGTGTGACCACGCTGGCACACTATGCGTTCGCCGACTATGTTCGCTACATGGAGGACGAATTGTGGCCCATTCTCAGCCTGTGTTACTTTGTGGGAGCTGCCATTTTCCTGACGGGGGCGATCGGCTGCGGTGCAGGATGGTGTGAGACGTACAAAGTGACAATTACCGTAAGTACGCTTATTATTTCGCTCAATTATCTCCATAAATATGAATATTACTCGCGCATTGTCTTACTAGCTTTATGCACTGTTGTCACATTGAAATAAACTATAACAATAATATACTGTGTTTCGCCCTTACTTGATTTTACTGAATAAACAATTTTTAAAAGGAAGATTATTATTGGTTTTACAGTACTGTGCGCTGATGACGTTGCTGTTTTTGCTGACGTCAGCGGCGGCGAGTGCCATCATCGCCTTTGAAGCTGTTGGCAAGGTAACGGCGGGGCAACGCCCTTTTTTGCAAGATTTCCTTAGTCTCATCAAAGTGTACAAAAACTTAAAATACGGGCCATATTGACATATTGGATTTCCAGGGGATAGATGGGGGATATCATATTTGACCAAAACATAACAAAATTGTGTTTCTTTTTCAAAAGAAATTCAAATTTATGACCTATAATATACAATCCAATCATCTTTTAGTTGCATCCTTTCTTTTTTCTTTGTTTTATTTTACTTGGTTTTATTTTATTTTGTTTTGTTTTGTTTTGAATATGTCTCTCCATCCTTCCCAGGATAACAATACTAACAACCTGAACCAAGGGTTGACTGTAAGTCTCCATACTTATAGTCTAGCCTTATTTGAACAAAAACATTTGTCTGAAAATTCTGTCCCTCTAATATGACAATCTTTTGTACTTTACCAATGATTGTTTCTTGTAAAAATTAACACATTATAACGTATCTTATTAACCATACAAACGTGGTCCTTGTTTTCATAAATTAATCATTGTTTTCATAAATTATGTCTATGAATGTTCGTCTTTCCGTTAGCTACAATTATCTCATATCTGAAATTCCTGCCGTCGAACGTCGTAGAAATTGCCACATTATGTATGCAAATTAGGTCCTGATTTGCATATTATGTTAAGATTACCTCCAAGCAGATGCATGGTTGATGTAGGTGTTTGTACTGTTGTGTAGCAGGCGGAGTGGAGGGTGGAACGCTTTATGCTGAAGTCTATGGACAGAGTGCAGTCCGGACGGATCATCATGGATGCCGTCCAAGTTCAGGTAAGGCACTGGATCCATTGAAGGTAGTACTATCCCTGCCCTGATATTGTGGAGTCTATAAAAATGCATCATATTCACTAGAAGCTAGCCTCCACCGCAGACCTCTAAGGCGATGGCGTTCATTTTTTTTCGGGGAGCAACGCGAGTTATCGGCGAAACCGTCTGTCCCCGGCAAAGTCCCTCGGCGGCAAAACCGTCCCTCCGCGGCACAACTCGCGTCGCTCCCCGAAAAAAAAAAATTAACGTCGCCGATTCAGAAGTCTGCGAAGGAGGGTAACCAGAAACCATGTCCATGGCTATCATAGCCTCTTCCAGGCTTCCCAAGCGACTGGAAAGACTAGAAATTGGCCAAATAGACAGATAACAAGCCATGGGAGTCGGTCCTCTAAAGAGTACAGTTTGCCGCTCCGGGGCAAGTTATCTGTCTATTTGGCCAATTTTTTGTCTTTTCAGCCGCTTACCGAAGCCTGGTAGAGGCTATGGCTAACAGTCAGTCACCAAGTAATTATAGAAACGGAAGAGGCAAAAATTTAAGCAAGCTAGTCTAACTAAGTTGTACCGACATCAGTTTTAGACTGGACGAAAACCACCTGTTAGCCTTCAGTCCGCCATCTTGGTTCCCCTTCTATTTTCCCATCATCCCACGCGCGCACAGAGTTTACATTTGCAAACCGGGGCCCGGCCGGGCTGTTTCTATGGACGAAAAATTAACAATTTATATCAAGAATATACAGAAATAGTGCCCATGATTATTATTAAAAACTTGTCTGTGTTTTATTGTCTTTTATATCGTACTTTTCGTTCCCAAAAGCTGTAGGAATTGTGACCTCAGCATAATCCGGAATTTTCCGTTTGTGTCCAGTTGCAATGCTGCGGCGCCAAGGGCTACATGGACTGGTTCAAGACTCCGTTCCACACCATCCGGAACGAGTCCGAGCTGGACATTCCGGGGTCCTGCTGCCTCAACGCCACCCGGAACTTCAGCTTCACTCAGCCGGACGACTCGTGTGGGTACGAGCTGGACACAGAGGCTAAAGCTATCGACAGCATCTATACAGAGGTAGGTAAGGTCTAAACACAAGGCTAAAGCTTTAGACAGCATCTATACAGAGGTGGGTAAGGCCTAGACACAAGGCTAAAGCTATCGACAGCATCTATACAGAGGTGGGTAAGGCCTAGACATAAGGCTAAAGCTTTAGAGAGAATTAGACAGTACAAGGCTAAAGCTTTAGACAGCACCTACACATCTACACATAATTAGGGCATGGACTATGTACACAGAGGATTACTATGATATTTTCTTGTAATCGCCATGTAATTTGTTGTTTTACAGGGTTGTGGACCGAAGGTAGCCAGGTTCATTCGAGAAAACCTGAAGGGACTCGGTGCAGTAGGGATCATAGTCATCGTTTTAGAGGTAAAAAACATTTGTATCATTTGAACTAACATATACAATTGCCGCAAATATCGGTGAGATTTAAGAAAATTCAAGAAAAGCTGAAAATCACCTTGTAACTAAAGCATCGTCTACTAGATTCAATTGTTTCCTAAAATTATCAATAATTCTTTGCAAAGAATACCTGTAGACGATAGTAAGGAACCAAACTGTGACATTACATGTACCAGTACATGTACGTATACTTAATAGAAATTCCATGCAAGTGCAGTACCGGTGAATCTGGTACGGGGGCGCTTCCTGCAGACGTTTCATTAGTTGCTCTCATGATTCTTTCTGATGGTTCTTGCATATTTTCCACAGATTCTGGGGTTCACCTGTGGCTGCTGCTTCCTCCATCAGCTACGGAGGAAGAGAAAAGAGCGGGAAATGATGGAACAGTACGAGCGTCTACTGCAGTACTGATGACGTCAGGGAAACACTCCTCCCACACACAGCAGTATTGATGACGTCAACAGTTTAGGTCCACCTCTTCTGCAGTATTAATGACGTCATGACTAGCTTCTCCCAACCTCCCTTTAAGCAAATAATTTTATGTAAACAAGAAAACAAAAACATACAACGTTAAAATCTTATATGCCAAAAAGAGGTCTCACATAAGTCACGATTCAAGATTTTTTACATCATGTTTTTAAAAATCGGCGTTAAGTTTTCGATAAATTGATAGAATTAAACTGTTCACTGTTTCACATTCTTTGAACGTTTATACTGGGGTATTAAAGTAATCATAATTTTTTATTCTTTCAAAAGTGTACATTCATGCGATGGAATAATCATTAATAGAGGAGACCTTTGTATAATGTACAGTGTATTGTATGCCTAGTATATTAAGCTACTGTGACATGTAACGTTACTTATAATTAGGATGAAGGGTTGTATATTGAAAAAAAAACTATTGAAATATATGGGATATCTTGGCCAATGGGTGGATACGCCTATAGGATATACTTGGTTGTGATATTATAGTTTGCGTAAATGGGGCATATACAGGATAAATGCATATGGCTGATACTCTATTGGTGGGTTTTGGTTGGGAAATATACATTATGAAATCTTGGGGGTGTAATAGTTGAGATTATACATTGAATAAACGTTGCTACTTTGTACACCACTGTGACCGTTATTATTGTTGCTGCTTCTTATTCAACCTTCAAGATTTAAGAGAAGAGCAGACGTCACAATACGCTGCGCAGTAGAGACCCCAACATGTGAACGATTGTAGTTCCTTGTTAATATCTTTGAAAATCCTTTTTTTTCTCTTGAAAATTTTAGTACAGTTTGCAGACTTTTGGGCTAGAAGGAGCAGGTAGGGTCTAAACTTTCCTACTTCGGTCAAAATTTGTTCATTTTGTCACCATTTAAGTGAGAGACCTGAGTGATGAGGTCTTGCCTGCCCTGGGCGGATGGATACACGAGCCGTGTGTGTGTGTGTGTGTGTGCTGGGGGGAGGGGGGTCGTAAAATGGCGACATACGCATTAACATTTATATTGGTTCGGGACAATTAAGACACGTACAAAGAAAAATGTCACAACAGAAGTTTGTATTTTTCGGACAAAACTTTCAGGATCACTTCTTTTGTACTCATTTTTGTGTCAATATCCCTGTTTCCTTTCTCTAATACATTTGTCCAATTGTTCATCAAACTTCAATATTTTACGATTTCAAAATCTATATTGCACAACGAATTACTTTACAAGAAACTATACACTGTGGTATAGAAATGAACAAAATCCTGTTAGTAGCAAATGCATGATAAGTTCGTAATTTTACGTATAACGATGAAAACATTAAAGCAAAGGAATGTTACTGGTTTACAATTATGATTTTCTCAGATTCTTGAACACTCTTTCACAAATTCCATCATCTGCATAAAAATCATTTTGTATTTCATCTGCTTATGACGATCATAGGTAAATATGATGACGTCATACTCAACTGCCCTCTTTGAGGACCATGACCCCGCGCATGCGCAGGTGAATCATTTCACTTACAGCAAGGACTAAGCTCGTTAGTTTTAACACAAAGCGTTGCCACAAAATTGGCATTATTTCTTCTCTCTGTAAGAACATACAGTTTTGAAGTATAATATCTGCTAATACACTAGTTTTACGTCAATAGAAACGCGCGCCTTCTAGTGTCTTGGTGATGAATTGCAGACATGGCAGACCGGACTTCAACTTGCCACTCTTTCTCTACTTCTGTAAAAATCACATAAAAACAAAACAACAAATAAGGTCATTGTATAAATACAGTTGATACATTTGTATATTTAGGAATATTCCATACATTTGAAACTACATGAAAATACTTGAAACTACATGAAAATAGCTCTATGATCTTGTATCACATATTAAAGAAGAAACTGCCACTGCTGTAGCTAACATAGCAATGAGCCATTGTATTTTGAATTGCAACACAGGTTGTTGGCAGTCACGTGACTATCAAGTAGATATTGTCCGCCATATTGGGTGGTTGAAACTTTTGGGTCTCATTCGGGAGATCACGAATATGCAAATGAGTTCCCCGTAGTTAAATTAGATAGCTGTTATCGCTATTCTTGTAACGTTGCAAGCCATGTATTGATAGTGTTATAACTGTCGTTCGTGTCTGGAGTTTCAGTTTACAGCATGTTTGTTGACGTTGGAACGTTTGCAATGGAACTTACGTTGGAAAAGGGAATCGGTGGCCGTGGCGCCCCCTTGCAGGACAGCCTGGTTTTGCAGACGGGTTTCCAGAGGCATTCGTCACTGCGCACAACATAAGATAAACATGTATCACATACTGAGTAAGGAAACAAACAAACAAGATAAAATGATAGATCTGTTCAGCATGCGATATTTCTACACAGATATAGCATTTAATCGTTTCATTGTGTGTATGTGACATTCAAAATGGCATTTGGCGTAAATTTGATATTGGGTTTGGGAATTAGGCCTCAAAATAATAATATACAAATAATAATATACATACGCCAATGTACCACGAAAGGCTAGTTTTGCTATCAATTGCTGTATGTAAGCTGACTTGAAGCCGATTCAGCGCCCATATCTATGATCTTGTTTACAACATACCAACTTGACAACTAAACATAACTTGGGGCATATGGTAAGTATGGTGCGCCGTACCCGGGGCTAGTGTTACTGTCAGCTCCGTATGGTTTACCGAATGTGGGGCTAGTGTTACTGTGGATAACAATACTTACTGTCCTTGGATGTCCTGGCAGATTCGGGCCATCTCACATTCCCGCCGCTTTTCACATTGCGCCTTCGGCCCCAGCTCAATGCCTGTCGTAAACAAGATCGTGTTACTTCACTATGGGCAGCCGGGATAGAGGGACGGAGGGAAAGGAATGAGGGAGGAAGTAAGGCTGAGGGGACAGAAGAACGAAAGGAATTGATATATAAACGGTATGCAAAAGCTTGGATCTTCTTCAAGTAAAGCTGTTTTTTTAGCTTGACAAGAGGTTTGGTAGTGTTTCTTTGTGGTTTAACAGCATACCTCGGGTTGATTGCCATGGCATATATTTGTTTAACAATATTATAATAATGGCCGCATCGAATGAGTACTAGTAGGTTGGCTTTAGAGCCAGATAACGGCTTCACTTGGTACTGCAGCGGAACTGCATATCCAGGACATCCTGACGAATTGCTGAGTATATGTATGTCAATTAATTTTTCTCCAACATTTCTGGCAACCATTTCACATTTCTCTCTCGTCCGTACGTTCCGGGCATGTTCCTGAATGTCCATCATGAGTTAGGAATGTGAGGAAACTGACCACGGGCACGCGTTTGTCATAACTTCATTTCACTTTCACTTGCCGTTAACTAGCTAGCACAGCTGACTGGGTATCAAACTTCCAGCTTAAATTTCATTAAACATCGGGCCTATGGCTACGTCTACAGGCTATTGAAACCTCATTGCTACAGGACAGCTCTTCGGCTCTAGTGCCTCATGCTCCCGATGAAATTTTGGCAAAGTCCCCTAAGAAAATTTTTAGCATACAGGACTTGAAATTGAATTCAAGCAGGCAAAATCACCTGGGTTAGAGGGAAACAAACAAGAAATTCGATTAACGGTACAGAAAAACGTTTAGAATGAAAACTCTAAAAAAAAGTTGAACGGCTCTCAGTGGCCAATGTGAGTATCGAACCCGGGACCTCTTGGTTCCGAGTCCAACGCCAATGTGCAGATGTTGTCACACGGGCGCACCAAGTCCGTAGTGTGTTTTTGGCACTCCACCGAATAGGTGGGAAGTCGTGTGAAGTGCCTTTCCCAAGGGCACAACGTCGGGCCACGGTGAGTATTGAACCCGGGACCTCTCGGTTCCGAGTCCAACGCTCTAACCGTTGCGTCACCGACGCCACAATGAAAACTCTGGCATCACAGATACCGATGTCATCACTTTTGAAAACCACTGGGCCCTAATAGTCTCCAGCGTGGTTCAAATTCCGAGCATCTTAACAACGTAAGCACCCGTCAGCTGTTTTCCCTCGACCCTCGCTAAGTCGCTTGTTTTTAGAGCGACTTGTTTTCGCCGTCGCCCGAGTTTGCAATTCTTCGCAAAATACGCCCCATCGCTTATGTTTGAGATCTTTGGCGTTAGCGGCTTGTGGTCTCTTAACACGCTAAAAAATGAGACTTCAAGGGATACCGCAAGCGAGCAGCTTTACAGTGTTACGAGAAGAATTATGTGAACCGCTAGTTGAGTTTACAGACAGTTGGGGGTAGCCTGTGATCGTTAGCTTGTGGTAAAGAATGTCATGTCAACACGAATCTGACCTTGGGAATGTTGGTGACTTTGCTGAAATTGACGCAAAGCTTCAAATGAGGTCATTGACTGATAAGAAAGTATTAGCTTTGCAAAATGAAAGAGAGAGAAAATTTCTACAAATTTTTAAATCGAAAAAGAGCATTGTCATTTTTTTAAACATAAGTGGATTTTGAGTTTGTACTCGATTTTTGACCAGCCTGATACAGAAATTATGGAGTAATACGGACATAGCCATCTTTTAAACTACGAAATAACATTGCTTACATATATGCCTTGCCTGTGCCCGAAAATAGTTTCATCAGGTTGGAAGAGTATAGGATATAATTAAGGGTTTTCTTTTACACAACCAAATATTCCTACCTTGCTTACGTTTCAGATATGCCTGTGATTTTCCTTGCTTTACTACTAGTATTTTCTTTTCTTACTGTTTGTCGAATCCCTCAGTAACTTTGGTTCGAGGCCACAGGAAACGGACATAGACAAGACAGTAAAGGACAGATCCTTCAGACGAGGCCTTTTTCAAATGAGACGATTGCTATCAGCGTGTTTTTGAGGCTGTTAAACTAACAAATGTCAGAGGAACGATTCAAAGTGACATGCTGTCAACCCACAGGACATTTCTCTCCAAGCAGAGGTTTGGGTTTGGTCTTATTTTTGGCGTGTTTTTAGGCTTTTTAAATTTTTTTTCACTGAAATGCTTTTACGCCAACCCAACAAAAACAATCCAGTGCAAAAAAGAAACCCCGATAAAAAAGCCTAAAAACACGCCAAAAATAACTGACCAAAACCCAAACCTCTGCTTGGAGAGTAACTAGACATGCTAAGCGTGATGACAGGTCAGAGTGACCAGTGGTCGTGATTGTGCAACCTCAGATTCGACGGTTCTGGTTCAAACCAGTATATCCAGTCATCTGTGAGCATGTGGTGCTTCTTTCTCCCCATTTTCAACTCCAGTATCATACTTTTACTGATATCCATATTCATATTACTGATATTCATATTCTATAATACAATGGAAAGAAACGTAGAATATAGATATATTCCTTGAACAGATACCACTGTCTTTAAACTATTGCTGCCTATAGGTTAAAATTTCATCGTAAAACTCAAAATTTGACACACGTACTGAGTACCAAATGAAAATATAGTAGCTGTATGATATAACACAATTTGAGTATCAATTTGAATTACTCAAGGAGACGTCAGTTTTAAAGAGAAGGCACAAGAAAGGGCGTCTTAAAAGAATAAGACAGCTGTGGAATAACAGATAGCAGGCTCACAAAATTTATGGGAGTTGAGCTAGAGGGTTACCGCAAGCATGTGTTCTACTTACCCTTGCCACATGCCATGCTTTGGCCGGCCAACAAGAGCACACAGCACGCCACCACGAGTACGGTCTTCATCGCTGGCACTGGGAATGTGGGATTGCGAGAGTTCGATCTTCTGAAGACTGAGGAATGACTAGAAGTTTTCTCCAAGCTCCGGCCGCACTTATAACAAGTTTCGTCGACGTATTTTCCCATCATGTGCTACTTTCAAGTTTCGATTGCGAAAGTTCTATTCCACGGAAGAAGGAAGGAAGTAAAAATCAAGATGCACTAGATACGGATGACAGTCTCTTCCCTTCTGGATGTAGAAATCGGAACAAACAAGTTATTTATACGGGGAAATTCGTGCTGACTTGCATGTTGCCCATGCCTTGGGATAGGAAGGCCGCCCAGGCCACACCCCCAGCACGCCCGACCGTCAGCCAATCAGAGAGCGGCGTGAGAGGGGTGTGGCATCAGGGATTGCAGCATCCCTGGGCAATCCCATTCGACACGTGGGGGTGACGTGTAATTCATTACTCCCTGGTTACTATATATTCTTTTATAGCCTGGAAATAAAATAATATTTTAGACGGTATAGATATTTGATCTTTAACATATTGAAACATAGGAAGGCTTTTGTTGAACAAGAATTGTATAAAGATTACATCATTTTTTTCTATTTCGTAACGCAGCTATTGCGAAATTGTTTGGAGTAATTCCAGTGAACATTCCAGTATATTCGACCACACGCATTTTCAGTTTCATGTGGTTGCGCAACAGGAAAAAAATCTGAGGTCATTTACCATTCAAGCTTAACTTCTTTTTCGGTGGTTGAGGCCAAATCTTAAGATTCTGTCTTCGAAGTTCCCCAGCTTTCTCACGACTTCTTGCCCTTGAACCGAGAACCTCCTTGTTTGAACCGACAACTTTGAGAAGCGGCTCACATGTGTCTACCATACCATGTGGTTTCTACAAAGGCACCGTTAGTAACTGACGGTTACTTTCAAAAATTTGAAACCTACTGGTTTTTGCTGAGTCACGCTATGCTACACGTTCTTACTGTGACCTTTTCAACTCTAGTCGGAACTTTCACAGACTACAGTTGGCTTGGGGAGTTTTCCGGGCTATTTCTGGCAAAGGGGTGAAAATGTGTATTTGTAGAGTTGGCCAAAATCAAGGCAATGTTACATCATGAAAGTCATGTGAATGTGTCAAAGGCGATTGCGTTAACATCTACTGTAAGCATGAAATTCGGGGCAAAGTCGGGTCAGACCACAAAAAGTACAGTATGCTCTCTCTCATTCCCTCATTTCTCCCGTCCCTTCATCCCCCTCTCTCTCTTTCCCTTTTTCTGTCTATTAAACTTTGTCTTATTCGATGTTACTCTGAATGAACTTGGGGATTAATCTTAAGATTTAACGCCGAAACGCACACAAACGTGATCTCTCTCTTTCTCTTTTTCTCCCCCCCCCCTCCACTCTCACACACACACACACACACACACACACACACACACACACACACTCACTCACTCACAAACACACACAGACACACTCACAATCACACGTACATACACAGATAGATAGACAGACAGAGACATAGATATTTTCTTTCATTTTCACTTTCCAAGGGCTAAACCACTTCCATATAAGAAAGAAAGGCGTCCATTTTAAGCAAAAATCTTTTGTCCGACCCCCGCAGCCTATTCCAATGGACCCGTCCAACATGCGATCTTCATGTGCGTGTGTCATGATCAGTCTGTTCTCCCTAGCCTCTACCAGGCTTCGGGAGGAGGCTGAAAAAGTAGCCTAGAAATTGTCCAAATAGGCAGAATTCATGACAGGGGAGTTGGTCCGCTATAGAGTCCATATTGCCGCAAAATGTCATCTCTAGCGGACCAACTCTCCTAGCATGTTATCTCTCTGTTTGGCCAATTTCTACTCCTTCCAGCCGCCTCCCGAAGCCTGGTAGAGGCTAGTTTCTCCTGGCTTCCATCAACCTTGATACACGGACATGTTTTTCCCGCGGTTTGTGGGCCAGGCGAGAACTTGGTGCTCTATATTTGTCACCTTCGCCTGGATACCGCAGAAATGTGGTGCGGGTTGGACGGTAGGGGGCAGAAGTGATGATAATGGCTCGGGTGGAGGAATCTCAGGCATGCCTGGTAGTTGGCACACGTCACGCGATAGTCGTCAAACATGTACCAAAGCTTTGATATAGAACTATCGTACACTTACTCTCTCCAAGCAGAGGTTGAAGGCGGGAGATCGTTTGTTTTTTATATATGGCCCGTTTTTTTGGTTGTTTTTTTTGTGGTGGTAGCGACAAAAAAAACGGACCATAAATAAAAAGCAAACGATCTTCCACCATCAACGTCTGCTTGGAGAGTAGTAAAACATGTACGAAAGCTTTTATAATATAGAACTATCGTAGAGTATCAGAGTACAGTAGGGGCATCCTCGCTACATACATGTAGCACTAGCTGACATACTACTAGTATTTTATGACGGCGCAAATTGCTATGTTATAGAATGTGCCAACTGATAGATGAAAAAGAATGTGTTACAACTTGGAACGAATCTAAAACATATATTAAACCAAATCAAAACCTCTTGTATTTAACCTTCTTGATTAAACATATACATTCTACACTGAAATTACTAACCTATATTGTCTTGTATTGCCTATACAAGCCAATATTATATCACTGATGCTTTTTTAATGTTTGAGCACACACTTTTAGATAGTCTTACAAAATGATCATTTTGTAGTGTTTTCTATTGTGAGTATACACAGTACAAGGTTGATATAGTAACTATCCTATAGTAACTTATTTGTGGATGTATCTTTTTTCTTCAAACCGCTCAAGCGATTTTTATGCTTCCTTGTATCAAAGAACAGGTTTTGGCAACTGAGCAAGAAGATGTCAAAAATGAAATATGTTTCCCTTCCCCTTGTTTTCTGCGTAGATCGTGAAACTGTAGTCACACTTGGCAAACTTATCCAAAAGATAAACCTTATCTTTCTTCTCTAAACAATAACTGTCGATTCATCGTATGACTCTGCAATTGTCAGTGAAGGAACGCGTATAGAAATGCATAATGAAACTTAAGAAAGAGAATTGGAGTCCAGGCATAAAACTTAAAAGGCATCAAGTTGATTTCAGGACTGTACTGGAATAAAAAATATTCTGGATGAGGAAATTTGTCTGATATTGGCATGTACTGTCATTTCTTAGTACATTTTCGTCATCATTTCATAATTGTAACGTCAAAAATAGCCCCAAGGCAGTACGTAAGGCGCCTCTTTATATCTGTATATATCATAGATAGCTAGAACCAGCCTACGATACAAAACCAAACACATATCAGTATGCTGTGGGATAGGACTGATTCAGTGACCGAAAAATTGAATTTGAAAGTACAGTTTTGTCGCCCTAAAACTGCATTGGCAATGCGCTTGAGTGACACTCTGTGTTTTTGATAGCCCTCGTTTGTATAAACGTTTATAAACGCTAGAAAAATTGCTGGGTCAGGAATTTTTTCGCTGCAGGTCAACAAGTTGTTTTTCAGCTCGTGAGAGGGGATCTATAATTACGAGGTATAGGGTGATGTGGCGTGATCTGAAAGTTGATCCCCGTATTTTTCCCCCATGTGGCGAGCAGAGGCCGACCTCGTGCGGTACCGAGCACATGTACATAGTCACCCTAGGTGCCAAACTAGTATCGGGCCGTTAGCCGTTTTCCTTCGGCAGCTAAGAGCCATTCGCCCGCCTATCTAAATTACCGCCACGGTGGGGTTGAGCCCAGGAGAATTTGTCCGGCCCTAGAACTAGACAAATTCTCCTGGGCTCAACTCCTCCGTGGCGGTAATTTAGACAGGCGGGGGAAGGGCTCTTGGCTGCCGAAGGAAACGGCTAACGGCACGATACTAGTTTGGCACCCAGGGTAGTACAATTATGCATGGTCGGCACGCAGAAAATAGCCGGCCCGCGCGGGTTCTCGTAGCACGTCGGCAATACCCGTAATGTATTGGACGTACTATGGAGTTAAAAGACACATGGAATTTGTTGTTTTTTCTACCTCCATGGACGTACCAAGTACTATATATAAAGGCCGCAGCATGTAAATTTTATGGATGACATCCTCCGCAGACTCCAAATCTAATGCGAGCGGGCGAAAAAAAACAAGGCGCACCCTGCTACCCACGTAATAGTCACATGATTTAGAAAGGTGCAGTTATACCTGTAGCTGTTGACTTGTAATACTAGTATATGCTGAAATTATCAAATCAAAAGTAACTTGTCAACCTTTATTTTCCACCATCAACCAAATACAGAAAGAGATGTAATGTGCATTCTGTGACAAAATTAGGTACACGGATGGATCGGATATCCATGGAGTGATGTGACTTGACTTGACTTGACTTGTAATCTGACTTCAGAATAAAGCATTTGGAGCGGCATCTTGCGAAGCACTTTAAAACTACATCTGAAAATAGCAGGAAGCATCTTAGTTGCCTAGTTTGCTACAACTTTACAAAGTTAGTCTAAGGCGGTGATTTTTCTATTGCACGTGCTAGTTTTACTTAGTTATAATATAACCGCGATAAAGAAAGTGGCAATTGTGTTGATGGATTTTGTGCTCTTCCTGTTGACGTCACTGCCTCGATCACGTGATCTACTTCATCATGGCGTACGCTGATTGGAGGAGGCAGAGTATGATGACGTAATAGGTAGGTTTGGCCAAGATGGCGCTGCTCGCTGAAGGATTAAAAAAGAACAATTCTTAGTCCGTTATGTTTTCATTTTCGTAGTCGAAATGCATAGTTTTATGTATTTCAATGGTAGTGCATCTTAGAAGTTATCAGATACTGTCGTTGTTTATTAATTTAGCAAAGACAGTGTCTGTTTCAAACGTTTGTTGGAGGATCAAAAATGAATCTTCCATTTAACCTTGTTGTGAGTTGGTGAAGGTTAGACATTTACCTTGCATGAGTTGTGCTGACTGAATGTTCATCCAATACGTCACTTTCTGCTCTGCAACAGTGGCCCTATCAGACGTAAAATTGATGTTATCAGAATGATCCAAGCACGGTCATTTACGTTCATTGATGTAGGAGAACCCTAATTTACATAATAAAATTTGCATAACGAAATTTGCATAATTAAGGCTATCTGACTTGCTTACACGAACTGCACGTTGCCGACGCCTGTAGAAGGAGCGTTCCAGGTCAGAGTGATGTTCTGCTTCTGGCCAGCGTTGGAATGAGTCATGCTACTGTCGGCAGTTGTACACTCAGTAGTCTTGGTGTCTGCCGGAGCGTTGGAGAAGGTACCGACGGGTGTGGTAGACCCAGGTCGGCGGGCCTGGAGCAGGAACCCTCGGAACTGCGGCCCCACGATCTGAACTGTACCGTAACAAAGATACAACATATTATTAGACATATTATGAAGGAATGCGGACTGTGCCAGGTTCATAGTATGTTGTCATGGTAACGGATTAGCTTGTCCACTACGTTACCCAGAGTCCTCTATTTTTCCCACCATGCAATGGGATCCGTGACAAGGATGCTACACATTTTTTTTATACAGGATACAGTGGCAAGCATACCTGCCACCGACATTTTTTAAAATCAAACCCAGGTGAAATCACGAACTCTCACTACTACAGGGCAAGAAGCCAAGTCCACTGATTGCCACGCATTTTATGTTATTGTATTAGTAAGGAATAAAGACGGCATTGCCCACCTGTAAACTGTTGCTGTTTCAAATACAATAACAACATGAAGGTAACAAAAATAACAAGATATTCGACCCTTATCCTATCTACGTCTATTGTGACTTCAACAAGGCCTTCCTTTTGGAAATCAGCAACAGCAAGAATGGCGTCTGATGCAGAAATACAATAGCAATGACTTGTAATGCCTAACCGACTCTACACCGAGAGTAAAGGCACTGATACCACTGTAAACGAACAATTTTGCTACAAATAGTATCGTTTCAGTAGCGAACGTAAAACACAGCAAAGTCCCATTTTCTTTCCTAAATTTAGCCCCCGTGAACATAAATGAATTTACAGTATCTGTAAAGTCATGCTCTTGAAGTCCCCTCATTAATTTGCATATGAAAAGCGCTGCTCTGCAAGATTACGCGATTGCCTTGAGGGTAAATGTTTCAAATTCTAATATTGATAATTAAGGGACGATTTCGACATGATATGTCTTTGAACGGTGTCTTGGACGGTGTCTTGACAGTGATGTGGCTAAAGATCGGCTCAGCTCTACATTAGACAAAAGCGTTTGAGAGAAATCTATCTGGGTGACTTGTTGTTATGTTGGTAAATGGATTACATCTGTTGCTACCAACAGTGCGTGTGTTAAAAGCGTGTGGGGCTCATCCAACCTTATCGCCGCTTTTCTTTAACAGAAAGACTACTTACGCAAACAATGGCACTGGGATTACTTGAGTCTACCTCTGTGATTTACCTGTTAAGTCACGCTGGCCTAGCCGAATATGCCCTGCCGAACTCGCCCCAGTCATGGTTGGGAGTAGGTCGGGAGAGAGGTCGGCTGTGGCTCAAGGCTAGTGTTCCCGAGGTCGGCTACTGTTTGGCTGCACCAGCCGATAATGTTTCAAAATGTTTGGATTCGGGCGTGGTTTGGCCATTGTTGGCTGGTCGTTTGCTGTGTTCGGTGCGTGTCAAATTTGATTAAAAGTCGACTAGGTTCGTCGTGAAAGGTGGCCAGACTGCTCCCAAACCTCAGCAAACCTTGTTCGTTGTTGGTCGGGGGAAGGTTCTGAATGTGTGACAATTCAAGGACTTTATCTATACGGATGTGACGGATCGTATTAACGCGTAAAAGTATATGCACGAATTCCGTCCCGTTTACAAAACTAAACCTACCTAAATGAAATTCACGATCTTTACGAATATGTATTCTAGTTTTCCAAAGAGGGTATTGTAAAATTTCACAATTTCACATTAGCATATTACAATCATCGCTATCCAAATTACTGATAAAACGCCGTAATTCGTAAAAAAAAACGCCCGGCGCCATTGCAAGATTATAATCTCTCACCTGACACGGTCCTCCCCGGGGTGTACTCGTCCCCCACCACGATGGAGTACGGGCTGGTGGAGTTTTGCGGGTTCACCGCGACGCCGCCGTTCAGATGCCCGGGCCGCATGGTGACACAGGCCGGGGCTGGGGCTCCGGTCCCGTAGCCATCGCTGACCGAGAAAAAAGCGACGGCAAGGACGAACCACACGGAGATACCAAGCTTGCCTTCCGCCATTTTTGTTTGTTCTCCTGAAGTTCTTAATATAATAAACGCACCCTGCGCCCCACGTAATAGTCACATGATTCAAGGAAGGTGCTGTTATACCTGTTGGCTTGTAACGCTGTAAACTAGTATATGCTGAAATTATCATAACAAAAGTAACTTGTCAACCTTTATTTTCCACCATCAACCAAATAAAGAAAAAGATGCAATATGCATTCTGTGAAAAAATTGAGTACACGGTTGGAGTGATGTGACTTGACTTGACTTGTAATCTGACTTCACAGTAAAGCATTTGGAGCGGCATCTAGCGAAATACTTTAAAACTACATCTGAAAATACTAGTAGCAGGAAGCAAGGAATACTTATAAGATATACTTTTATCTTAAAGTTGTCTAGTTCTGCTACAACTTTCAATCCTCGAAGGTCGTATTAAAAAGTTAGTCTAAGGCGGTGATATTTCTATTGCATGTCCTAGTTTTATTTAGTTATAAACGTGATAAAGAAAGTGGCAATTCTGTTGATGGATTTTGTGTTCTTCATGTGACGTCATCGCCTCGGTCACGTGATCTACTTCATCACGGCGTACGCTGATTGGAGGAGGCAGAGCATGATGACGTAGTAGGTAGGTTTGGCCAAGATGGCGCTGCTCGCTGTAGGACAAAAAAAAAATCAATTTTGAGTCCGTTATGTTTTCATTTCTGTAGTCAAAATGCATAGTTTTATGTATTTGAATGGTATTATATCTTGGAAATGATCCGATACTGTCGTTGTTTATTAATTTAGTAAAGACAATGCCTGTTTAAAACGTTTCTTGGAGGATCAAAAATGAATCTTCCATTTAACCTTGTATGAGAGTTGGTGAAGGTTAGACATTTACCTTGCATAAGTTGTGCTGACTGAATGTTCATCCAATACGTCACTTTCTGCTCTGCAACAGTTGCCCTATCAGACGTAAAATGGACGTTATCATTGATCCAAGCACGATCATTCATTGATGAAGCAGAATCCTAATTTGAATAATGTAATTTGCATAGTGTAATTTGCATAATGTAACTTGCATAATTCAGGATATCTGATTTGCTTACACGAACTGCACGTTGCCAACGCCAGTAGAAGGAGCGTTCCAAGTCAGAGTGATGTTCTGCTTGGCATTGGTGTTGGCGTGAGTCATGCTGTTGTCGGTAGTGGTGCACGTTGTTGTCTTGGTGTCTGCCGGAGCGTTGGAGAAGGTACCGACGGGTGTGGTGGACCCAGGTCGGCGGGCCTGGAGCAGGAACCCTCGGAACACCGGCCCCACGATCTGAACTGTACCGTAACAAAGATGGCAATGGTTTGGCTTGGCCACAATACGTTACCCAGAGTTCATTTTCGTACATTTGCATCCTTGAAATTTTTTCGTCTTAACCAGTTTAACAACGTTATCAATTTATCAAAAAGGGAGAATAATTGACCACGGGGAGTTTAGCCAACGTATGTTTTCTTTTCATACGTCACTTCCTTACTGACTTTCCATTTCCTGCCGTTCGAGAAACAGGTGCGGACCGGATGTTACCTGTAGGGTGTCTGCAAGTCATGCCTCGTCACCAGTTACTGATTTGCATCTGAAAAGCGCTGCAGTGGGCGTTTTACTTACTGTAAATAGGCTCAAGATCGACTAAAAAAATTCCACTTTCCCAACCGCCAAGCTCTACTTTAATCTGATAGTCAGACAAACAGGTACCATCAGAGTGCCTTGTCATCGCTGTCTTGATACATGGATTATATATCTATTGTTACCTCCCGTGTGTGTATCTTAATGTTGTTGTGCCTTGGGCACGACTTCGAAGAAAACCGGCTGTTCAGTCAACCTTAACGCCCGCTGTCTTTAGGGAGGGCCTGCAAGCCCGTAATCAGGTCGTTTTAGACTTCCTAATTCGTAGGCAAAAATCAACGTAATTCGTAATTGGACATTAGCCGCAAATCGTAAAGTCGTAATCAGCGACTTTAACGTAATTCGTAATAGGCGGCGAAAATTTTGCGTAATTCGTAATCACTACCACCCCCCCCCCTTGCAGGCCCTCTTTAGGAAGGAGTAAGTACGTTAACAATGGCGTCCTCACCTGGTCACTTGATTCTATCGATATACAGTACCTGTCGTGCGGGAATGTGGACGTGCCAAGTGTATATATGTTGACACAAATTTACCCACCACAGTCTTAATAATAAAGGAAAATTCATAAACTCTACGGTGGCTAAACTCCCCTGGCAAATTATTCTCCCTATTTTCAGTTTGCTAAATTTTACTGCGGATTTTGAACCCGGGTTGTTACTCTGGTAGACACAATGTGTGTGCGTGCGTGTGTTTTTGTTCCACTCGAGAAGTTACTAACTTTAAACATTCACAATTCTAAACAATCAACATACAACTTTACAAGGGCCCTTGTGATTTTTACAGTTGCTAGTGCTGATCAAACGCTGGAATGTGTAAAAAAAACTCCCGGCGCCATTGTAAGATTATAATCCCTCACCTGACACGGTTCTCCCCGGGGTGTACTTGTCCCCCACCACGATGGAGTACGGGCTCGGGGAACTTTGCGGAGTTACGCTAACGTTGCCGTTCATATGGCCGGGCCGCATGGTGACACAGGCCCCGGCAGGGGCTCCGCTCCCGAACCCATCGCAGCCCGAGAAAAAAGCGACGGCAAGGACGAACCACACGGAGACAACAAGTTTGCGTGCCGCCATTTTCTGTTCTACTGAAGTTCTGACTGACACACCCTGCGTCCGTTTGAATACGTAATAGTCACATGATGTAGGAAGATGTAGTTATACCTGTTTGATAGCTAATTTGAGACCGCCCGAAGTTATGCATATTGAGCCGATGCCCGCCGGGGATGTGACCCCGACAGGGCTCTGGAGTCTGCGGGGCACCGGTTGTCACAATTAAAAGTTTCCTTCAATGGCATTTTCTTTAAGATTTTGTCACCCTCTGGGTACCTGGCCAGAGGGTGTAAATAAACAAATAGATAGATAAATAAACAAATAAACCTGGCAGATGCCCTGATACTAGTAATGGTGGGGTCGTGTGGCGTAGCGGCAAGGTGCTCGACTCGGAACCAAGAGGTCCCGGGTTCGAGTCCTGAAATAAGTATTGTATTGTCCCCTGTGTTGGTGGCGGCATTAATATAAGGCCATGTTGATTTGATTATATGGATGACATCCTCCGGGAGCCCCAAAACTGATGCGCGCGTGCGAATAGAAAAAAAGTTTTGCAAAAAAAAAGTTCTTTCCATTATGAAATCTACGTGGTCATGAGGGTTGAGCAAATGGCACAGAATATGGTTTGGCGGATAATCTAGTCTTCAAGTTCATTTCTTTACAATTTCGTCCTTTTTAGTTTGATTTTGGCATTCTATGACATTGGTATAGTTTTTATTAATTTTTTTTGTAACTTACGGTATATTTTTGCTAATTTTGCAACTGTTTTGTACGATTTACAGTATGGTTGAAAACTTTTTTTTTTGGAAACGGCCGAAAATTCATGCGCGCGCGGATGTCATCCATATAATCAAATCAACATTGCCTAAGTTGAAAATACTTGCGTGTGCCGTCACCACGTCTTGTGATTACATGTTGGAATATAAAAAAAATGTCTTATATTTACGTCGCGCATTTGATACACCTTTATTCTGTGCATCTGGTCTGTGACGTAACAAATGTGTCCCGGTGGACCGCCGGCAACCGGAGGGGTGCCTCTCGGTGTCCTTACGGTTAGGCCACGGCGTCTTTTTGTCAGTGGGGCCCGGATACAATTTAAGTCAGAACTAATTCTTCTCGGGTCCCCACCGGGCCCCAAACATAACCCGGTAGCCGCAGGGTGTCCCGCGGGACCACGTAGGGGTCACGCCCGAAACTTGAGTGCCAAAAAACAGCCCGGGAACTACCCGGCAGGGCCTTTTTTTAATTAGGACCAAGCATTACCCAATACTTCGTCACTTGAGTGTTCGAGGTTTTTTTTTATATATATATTACTTGCGCTATGTTGGAATGACAGGTTGTCTATTTGATACAAACTATACTTATTTTGACGTCAAAGAAAAAACCTCTAATGTCTAAAGTAAATGTATAGAGTCTATAGATATATTTATGTTTGGCTTGTAACTTATCAAAAGAGCACACGTGGCATTACGTTTGGTATGTCAGTTTTCGTGCAACATTATTTATTTATTATTTTTAATTACAGAACATGTACCTAAACAGAGCGCCCTCATGCATAGCAAGTGGTACTGCAAGTATGCAGATGCCAAAATATGCGACAACAGTATAAAACAAATAATCAAATAATGTTTCTGTAGCTTGGTATAAAATAATTTGTGCTGTGCGAAACCTATCAATGTTCCATCCCCTCTGTGCATGTGTCCATGACTATTTCATTGTATTGGGACTCACGTGACAATGACGTAAGTACTGTCCGCCATGTTGTATGGTTACACCAAGTAGTTGCCATGTATATTTGAATTTGCATATGGTTAACCCAAGTAGTTGCCATGTATATTTGAATTTGCATACATGTATATGTAATTACACTCATATGATACACATGAAAATGTGTAGGTCTGACTCCTTCATTTTAAAAATCCAACATGGCCGCTGTGACGTCACGTTTTAACAATATCCCCAAATATGGACTTCCTAATGCTTGAATTACGTTATGCATACATACACTACCAACGTTTGGCTCTATCTAAAGGCAAAAACTATCGTGTGGAACAAAACTACAATCTTGGTGACTGGTGACAATCTTCACTTCAAGAAAAGTGCCGCTTGCAGAAGGCAGAGAGCCATGATGAGGTAAAAAGTCGGCTTGGCGAAGCTGGCTCCACTGGTCGTACCTTAGGAACGTTAAACACACAAACATATGGGTGAGTGACCGTCCACCAGCGACATCTGCCGATTTCTATGAAAAGTGCAGACTTCCTAACAGGTGGTTTTGAAGCTGACATTTTACGTTTAGCAAATACTCCACTCTTTCAACATGTTATAACAGTGTCATAGGAATTTTTCTACATCTTTTGTGACTATAGAAAATAGTTGTATTACACTTAAGGTTATTATGTTTACCGAAGGAAAACATTGTTTTTGCTCCGTTTCTTCTTCCGTTCCAAACAATGACCTGGTCAATAACCTGAACCAAACCGTCTGGCACCATGGTAACTGGTGTTGGGTTCACATAATGTTGCAATTTTATGGTAGGAGGGATTGAAACTCCTGTCACCATATATGTGAATGCATTTGAGTAAGAATTAACAGAGCAGGCCATATGCGAAAGTAAACATTATGCATTTGCTTTGCAAATGTTACCTGTCTAGTTCTATACTACATCTCAAAGTCTATGACGTAACAACGTACCTTGTGCCACCTGTGCTGACGTAACGTCCATCCAATACTTCACCTTCATCTCAGCGACGGTGGCACTAAAATGAAGAATGAGAAATTTAAACATTGATCAACATTAAAACTATTGCTAAGATCTCTTCTGACTAATAAAACAATACTGCTTTTGACACGTGTATATATGTAGTATTGTGCTATTATGCTACATTTTGGCTGTAATGATCAACTTTTTCGGTAGAGATCTAGTCTATAACTTGGCGCAAATGCGTTCGTTTAAGTCGATTTAATAATATATACTATCGTTGTTTTTTGATAGAAATAGAAAACGTTGTATGTTGTTGTCATTAGGCCATGTCATGTTGATTTGATTATACGGATGGCATATAATCAAATCAAAGAACCCCAAAACTGATGCAAGCGTGCGAATAAAAAAGTTTTGCAAAAAAAAAAGTTGCTTTCATCATGAAATTTACGTGGTCATGAAGGTTGAACAAATGGCACAGAGTATGGTATGGCGAATTCGAATAATCTTCTCTTCAAATTCATTTCTTTACATTTTCGTCTTTTTCGTTTGATTTTAGCATTCTACGACATTGGTATTGTTTTCTAATCTTTTTTTGTTGCAACTTACGGTATATATTTGCTTATTTTGCAACTGTTTTGTACGATTTACAGTGTGGTTGAAAACTTTTTTTAAAATTGGAAACTGCCGAAAATTCATGCGCGCGTGGATGTCATCCATTGAATCAAATCAACATGGCCTTAACACGTAAGTGTATATATACAAGGCGTCTTACACAAACTGCACATTGCCGACGCCAGTAGAGGGAGCGTTCCAGGTCAGAGTGATGTTCTGCTTCTGTCCAGGGCTTGCATGAGTCATGCTACTGTCGGCAGTGGTACACTCAGTAGTCTGGGTGTCTGCCGGAGCGTTGGAGAAGGTACCGACGGGTGTGGTGGACCCAGGTCGGCGGGCCTGGAGCAGGAACCCTCGGAACACCGGCCCCACGATCTGAACTGTATCGGGGAGGAGTAGCAGTGTTAGGCGCAGTTTATGCAAGTCATATAGTGATATTCTTTGTCTCAGAATTTCCATCGATACTGTTGTGGTTTTCAGTTTTTTTATGCTGCCCGAAGGACTGACTGCAGGACTATAACCACATACGTATATACGCAGGACACAGGCATGGCCGTTACACATATAAAGGAGGCTTCTTAGCGAGCAACCCCTTTCTTTATTTGTAAAAGAATAACACTAGTCTAAAATCTAAGAGTGTCCCCCATGTTGGAACCACTTTTGAAGTTCAAACAAAAACAGTACCACGAAGTTGCTAGACTGTTTACAAAATGCGATGTTAGAATGCCTTTTATGCTAAGCGCTTACACTACCCTGGGTGCCATGACTAGTATCGGGCCGTGAGCCGTTTTTTTTCGGCAGCTAAGAGCCCTTCGCCCGCTTACTAGTATCTAAACTACCGCTACGGAGGAGTTGAGCCCGAGGGGAGTTTGACCGGAGGGTAAACTTATACTGTTACAGCGCCTACATAAACAGCCGAGTCACGATTTCGTAAGAAATATCCCGTGTCACGCCTGAACTTTGTACCGTTACTCGTCACGATTATTACATAATCCTCCTTTGAACCAATATTTACACACACCGGCGTGTGCTGGGTACGGGTTCGTTCTGTTGTGGTGCAGAGCGGCAACGGGCGATGACTTAACAAAATCTTACAGAGCTTGAAATTACTCTCCAAGCAGTAGTGGTTCAGATTTTTGGTTATTTTTTGGCTTGTTTTTAGGCTTTTTTTCGGGGTTTCTGTTTTTTTTGCAGTGAAATTTTTTTCACCCAACAATACAAAAAAGAAACCCCGGTAAAAAAAGCCTGAAAACGCGCCAAAAATAACTCAAGACCCAAACCTCTGTTTGGAGAATACTTGAAATCACCACAACAAGGCTGTATATTGTCTTAGGTATTTTAGCGTTTCCAAAACCCTTATACACAAGAGTATAGGTAGAAAGCGTTTCATGTTCCTCTTACATAACCTAACATGTTTTTCTGACATAAATGTAGACGAAAAGCACAATCACGTAACAAGCGGCCTTCCATTTTTTTTGTTGCCACGGACAAAAAACCCTAAAATCAACTATTTCTCAACACAAAATCAGTTGAAATCAAAGAAAACATGATATTCTACATGTACATATACCTGAACAGGGTTTACATTGTTGTTGAGAGAGAAACATCGTCAGCTTACCTGAGAAGGTAGAACCTGGAGTGTACTTGTCCCCCTCCACTACGATAGAATACGGGCTAGCGGACGTCTGCGGTACAACGGCGGCGGTAGCGTTGAACATATGCCCGGGATGCATGGTCACACAAGCCGTGTCGGGTGCACCGGTCCCGTACGCATCACAGACGGCAAAAAACGCCAAAAAGACGCAAGCACAGAGCACAACGTTGTTGACCGCCATTTTGTCCTGACAGAACTAATACGTAAGGACACGCCTTTAGTTTATTTGCTCGAAAACGGGCCGAGGTCACGTGGGTCGTAAACGTTGATTGCTTTGCTGATTAGTGTTGTTTACTGTTGCTCAGACAAGTGATAATTAGTGCTGTACATGTTTACTGTCGCTCTAGACTACATTATCTAAAATGCCCAAAAGGGCCTGCCTAAGCTAAATTCAAAGTTCCCTTCCCTCGATATGCGTTCCGATACTATTTATGACTAAGTGATGTACCTTCAGGTTGTCAGCTTGCAATACAGATTTTTACAGGGAGGTGGCGCCCTTGCGTAGCGTACACAAGAATACACAGCATTGGAAATGCAGGGATAAGGCTGTGAGTGTTGTTTCAGCACCAGGGACAGGTCTGTTTAAGTGGTATGTATTGTCCCAGGCACAACTTATGTTGTTTTTGCAACATCTTTTTGGACACCCCAATAGCTGTACATGTCAGATAGAGCTTAAACTGTTTGTGTGCTTTTGTGTGAATGCTGTAGGTGATTTGCTTGCAATGTATAAGTGCTGAGCAGATCTGTTTTGTGTTGTTTGGTTTTCCTCAAAATCCACTGCTTTAATTTGGGCGGGAACAAAACATTACGTCATAACCTGAGCGGATTTTGATTGGCTGCCTTCAATTTTAGTTGGCTGCGGTGACGGCAGCCAAACGACACTCAGTCAAAACTCAGCCAAACGACACTCAAGTCAAAATTGGCGCCAAATTGTGTCAAAAAACGGGTATTTTGACACGATTTGGCTCCAGTGGAAGCGCCGACATACACGGACAACCGTTGTAAGTATTTATCTGCCCAGTTCCTGGTAGGTATCGTTCCGGTCTTTGAATTTTTTACGCATTTTGTTTGATTTGAATCTATCGTCTAAGCTGTGACCTTGAAATGGGGGTGGGGAGGGGGGCTGGAAACTTTGTTTACATGGTGAATATAGAGTGCATGATGTTAAGAATGCTAACGTTAGGTATACCTTTGTATTAATGAAGCATTGTCTATCTGGTTCAACAATACACCATTATTAGAACATACAATATACACAGAAAAGTAGTATATGCATTATACACACAAAAAAGCATTTTATTTCCAAATACTTGGTGTTACTACATGTACCAAATAAGTTAGAGAGAAACTTTGCATGCACTTCAACACAGAACAGAATGTTCGTATGTATCATAATTCATGCATTTTTTTTATTGTACATTTGTACGAAAATGATCTCAAGCAAGCGTCCACTACGTGCAGTAAATATATATTATACACACACAAGTTCCTTTTTTAATGTTCCCAATTACTTGGGGATACTACATGTACTACAACACCTTATGGACAGAATATTCTTGTATATCTTTCAGTTAATATCTGTTATTCTTTGAAAACTACAGTTGTACAAAAAATCACCTAAGAATACATCGAGTCTTTAGGGCCTTTTGTTGACAGTAGACCAATCCTGGCTGTCAATTCAATTTAGATTTTCAACCAATGAGAGGCTGGCTACATGTCCGTCAAATTTTGTCCTTTTTGTACTGAAAAAATACATTCTCCAATACATTCTTCAATATCCTGTCTACACTACATATAGTCACTCAAATAAGGCTGAGAAGTCAAATCAGAGCACTAGGCCAGCATGCTATACGCCGTTGAGATGAGGCTGAAAACGATGACGTAGCAAGTTGCCTTGATGGCGACTCCACCTAAAACAGATCAATAAAGACACATGTAGTTTAGCCTTCTCAAAAGCGACACCTATCGCTTCGAATACAAACTGTTGTGTCTTCTGCCTGTCTAAGCAATGCGGCATAATGGGAAATACAAGTATGATAAACTATGAAATTACCGGCTATTTCCGCTGAGGCGAGGTTCATCCAGTATGTATCGTGATCCTGGGCGACAGTGGCACTGAAACATAAAAGTAGATACTATCAAGGCAATGTACAAATAGTTGTAGGCTGATGAAAATATGATTATTTTGACATGGTCGGTGGGGATGTCACACAATGCATCGGCGAGCGCAGTGATCTACGTCACATCCGTTCATTTTCGTCATATCCGGTACCTTCCAGACATTTACGGTTATCTGATGTACTTACACGAACTGCACGTTTCCAACACCAGGACTCGGAGCGGTCCAAGTCAGAGTGATGTTCTCCTTGGCTTCGGTGTTGTCATGAGTCATGCTACTGTCGGCAGTGGTGCACGTTGTTGTCTTGGTGTTGTTCGGTGCGTTGGAGAAGGTACCGACGGGTGTGGTCATCCCAGGTCGGCGGGCCTGGAGCAGGAACCCTCGGAACACCGGCCCCATGATCTGAACTGCAGAGGGCATCTTATGTTAACCTTGTCCTGTTGACATTTTTTACACAATATTTTGAAATAATTTCCTGTCTTGATTAGGTCATAGACCCCCGACTTTTTTTGCCCTGCGGTGGCATAGTTCAGCAGTTTCGCTGCGGTGTGATGCGTTGCACGAGAAATACCCCCAAAGTTGTACCTATACAGGGTGCTGTATAAGTTATAGATAGTACTGTATGTGCAAAACAACAATTGTTGGGCTCCGCAGGACAAGGGCTGAGCACCCAACGTGTATAAACAATTCACAGGTGTACGGTTTAAGCTTCCCATTTAAGGTAAGCAATCAGGCATGACATCTATGATTGCAAGAAAAAAAGAGCCCTCTTTAAGGCGTGAATAAACACAACAATGACACGCAGCCAATCGTGAAACATGTACTGGCTGAGGTGAAAAAAAAACATGACTACGACACGCTTAGTCAATGCGATTGTGTTTTCATGAGACACAATACAAACATAAAATCATTTACATGCACCAGCGCACACAAACACACATCAGCATAACAGTCTAAAGTAGACACAGCACAGACTAGACAGTATGTGTATCTAAAGCAACGTTTCGCTGCTGATCGTCTAGAAAGACTCAGCAGTGTCAGTTCTTTTGTTCTCTTGACATTGATACATGGGGAAACGTAAAACGAAGCTCGGCGTTCTCTTCTCAAGACTCAATTTGGTTTGTGGCGACCGGATTTTTTCAAATGTATCATCCTAACCGTCGGTTTTATATACGTGTCTTATCCAGAACAGTTCCTAACTAATTCTATGTCTGAATTACCGGGGTTAGGCTCAGGATCAGGCACAGTTCTGGATAGTCACTACGTGTGGTCGTGTGGCGTAGCGGCAGCGCGATCGACTTGGAACCAAGAGATCCCGGGTTCGATTCCTGATCTTGTACCCTTGGAAAAGGCACTTTACACGAATTTCCTCGCGTAACTCAACTAAAAAAAAGTATTGTCTTGTCCTGTACTCGTCCTCTGCGTTGATGACGGCATAAAATAAGTTGATATAACTTGAGTGTGCCGTCACCATGTCTATTCATAAAATGTTGGAATATGAAAAAGAAAGGCATGATTCTATGCGCGGACTATTAAAAAACGTACCTAAAATCCGTTCTAAATAAAGCACTGCTCTGGACGCTACGAGACTGCATATGATCGTGCGCCCCCGCAAAAAGTCTCCATCCATGGACGAGGTACCTTACCTGTGACAGTCCCACCGGCCTGGTAGCTGGTAGCTCCCGCTTGGATGGAGTAGGGACTGGTCGATGTTTGAGCGGACAGGGACACGCTATTATTGGTGGCGTCCACATGTCCCGGCTGAATGGTTGTACAGGCTCCGGCCGGAGCCCCCGACCCAAAACCCTCACATCCCACAAAAAGCCCGACGGCGAGGAAGAACGCAGTCCCCACAACCTGTAGCGCAGCCATTTTGTATCCCACCTTCTCGCTTGAGACGTGTGTTTCCAATGGTAACCGCAAAACTTGTTGACAAGTGCTTTTGTTAACGTTGTCAATGGTGCAGTCAGTGTCAGCACACAAATCTATGGATGATTGATAACCATTCCATTCACTACGTTAAGGTCTATCCGACTTACATAACATTCTGGAAACTTAAGAACCTAAGCAATGGCCTTGCACCGAGGGAGAACAGAGTACATAGTGGGAAACACTCGCCTATCTAGGTGTGGCTGGTCGCTAAATGCATTGGCAAAATAGTGACTGTTTTAGTTACATGTACTAAACAAAGATTTAAACCAAGTTGAACATAAATATGTTGAACTTACATACGTCAGAGTGAAGTTGAGCAATGTGCGTTACAATGAAAACTATATGGGGAATGTTGTGGCTATCACTATAACTACGTAGAAAACAAAAGCCATTGTTAGTTTTATTTGATTTAGATATGTTTTCACGAACCAAGTGTAGCATTTAATTATTGTCCTATCAAAAGTGGTCTATAGAAAACCGCAGGCTACATCAAGAATACACCACAATGATCACATTGCTATGTCTAAGTGTGTGTCTGCGTATGTATATAGAGTATTTATATCTTATACACCATGCAAATGATCTATTCTTAAGTTACATTTTTATGACCTTCAGGGTAATTTGAGCGCGAAACCCTGATTTTTAACGGTTTTCGTTGGATGTTTGGTCAACGTTGCATGAGAATTTTTGCCTGTTGCAGACGATATCTTTTCCAATACAATATTTGAAAATTATAGAGGGGATGTCCCCCTTATACAGGTAAATACGACCTTAATTATATGAGACCATCCCTCGAAGTGCTATGCACAATGCATTACGTGTTTAACGCAGTACATTCTGCCGACGTACTGGTACCACGTGCAATTTTTTAAGGAAGGGGGGGTAAAAGAATTCTAACACGTGCTTACATATACGTTGAAAGTTGTTGTGGAAAAAGAAACACATCAATGATTTTAAATGGTCTGTTTGTAGGTATAAGCAGATGCTGTGAAAAAGTAAACACTACTTATTCAATACGTCGCTTTGTCCTCCTTTGGTTCATGTAAACAAACACGTCGCCCTGTTGATCCACAACTACCCGCAATGTGGCGCTCTCGTTTCTTTGCTGTAGCCGTATCATGCAGAACGTCAGGGCATCCAGTGCAGTTTTTAGGGTTTAGAACCCCGATTTTTCAAAGCCAATATTCCAGTCATTTACCAGTCATGGAGCAAAATTTCTGACGGAAAATGGTTACTGGAAGGGCCCTGGGCTGATTTTTAGGGTACCACCCAGAAAATAAAGGACTCATCTTGGTCTTGTTTCTGCAGTTTTAAATGCCCAATGTATGATATGCTGATTAAATGTGCTAATGTGAAGCAGTATGTGTCAATATCACAAAGATTGCCTTATTCAGAATAGTTCCAAGTTTGCTGCCCTAAAATCGCATTGGATGTCTTTTACAAGCACACTAGCTTACTAGCTTATAGTGCTTCAGCTGCGGAATCACCGTTGTATTAGTGAGTCTTTCCTATATTGAATGATAAAGAATTTAATACTTTTGGCTATATCTCTGGATAACTCTAGTAAGCGTGCATTCCAATACAAGCACTCTTAAAGTTTTAAGACTAAATCCAGTATTTTGTTGATAAAACTGGTTTATGTGATAAGCCTGGAGCCTTAAAGCCTGGAGCACAATCATCAAGCTACCGCCTTTCGGCGTAACACACCAGCTTCTGTATATGTATAGCCGGTATAACCGCCTTTCGGCGTAACACACCAGCTTCTGTATATGTATAGCCGGTATAACCGCCTTTCGGCGTAACACACCAGCTTGTGCATAAATGCAATGTAAAACTGTATTGCACGCACAGAATGATAATCCAACTTGTACTTGAACTTCAACAAGGCAAAAATCAAGGCTTTCTGTTCATTACCGATATTGACATGTGTAATTAGTGCTTGTCTGTAATGGTTTGTTTACTTCGTGCCTTTGCGCGCGGTAGAATCAAATGTAGTTTATTAAATCACCTCACGAAGTATGCACATATTTTCAAATGCAAGAATGTAGCGCGTGTAGTCAACATCTTTCAAGATATAGAACTGTTTTAATGATATACCACACAAACATGCATGGTAACAAAATAATATCCGTTGATTTCAAACAAAAACAATCTACATGTACGCTTTAGAGACCAACTAAAGATCACATAGAGACTAACTACTACCCTAACAATCGTTATTTAAGGACAACTTGAAAAACATGTTTATTATAAGAAGTGATATGAACTTATCAATCTGGATTACTTTTTAATGCGATGTACCATCTAACAGATATTATAAAACATTTTGATCTAGTATTAGTCGTTTTGTAAAGTGTAATTTACAAAGGCCTGCTGACTTAATTAAGACTTAAAAATCCATACATATTATTGTGCTGGATTAAGAATATATTGCAGTATATGCAATATATGACAATGTGTTGACAATAGATGCTTTGATAAACATGAGTTTCTCATTTTGTAAACCGGGAATATCAACAAATAATGTTGGCCTAGTCTTATAAAAATATCAATAATCTTTTTATAATGTATATTGAAGCGATGATAGCACAACTGAGAAATTATGTTGTACTAAGACATATCTTCGGTAACAGCAATTACAAATTTACAGATTAAAACTACCCAAATTCTTTTGGGTGTGGTTTTTTCTTTTATATGTGAAGTACAAGTTATTATATCATATGCATGAATACAAAAATACAGCGTGGTATTTCATTCAAGTAAGCTGGGGTACAATATACCCCGGTTCAGGACCGTCCAAATTCGCTAGAGTACCCATAACTGACCTTGACCTTGTCCTAACCCCTTCTGTGAATTACAGAGGTTTGACGTTTACCGACACTTTAGATAATAACGCTGGAATTCAACATGATAATTTAGAGAAAGCAATGCTTGATAGCTATGACGTGGAGTGAAATAACTACTAGGTTGGTCCAGGCTTGAAAACAGGCCGATGATGATGAAAATGTAGTTTAGCTGGGGTGTCTTGCCCTCACCTTTTTGGTAGGTGTAATATTTATAGTGTAAGGTACATTGGACAAACGTCTTTTATCGAAGTACTGTAATCTTTATGTTTGTATTGCTGGGGACAATAGATTGGATGTCTAACGCACCGCTCAAAGCACTTGTCCTTCGTCTAAGCACCCTGCCCTGTCAGATGCTGATATGGTAAATGTGTTTTTCTGTCTGGGGGAAATGGCTTCAAACTTTCATATTTCCATATACATCTTCTAGATTGTCACATTTGTCGATAAAATTTTGTATTTAAATAGTAAAGGCACAGCAGATATAGGTGGCTTTGTGTACGTCGATATCATCTTTATATAATCTTGTAAAGTGTATCTATTTCATAATTCTGGTGTTTATGGATACATAGAATCTTATGTACATTGTATCTATTATAATTGTCCTAATGCAGAGCCATGTCCATATTTTAGCAAGAAAAATATCAGGAAAAAATATTCCTGTGTATACACAAGTCTTTTAGTAATACGTACAACTTATGGTTTCAGTGATACACTCGCCAATAAGAATGGTAAATGGTATCGTTGTGACTAAGATTAACCAGCAACTTAATCTACAATGAATTTGACCCAATGAAAGAGACAATACGTCCGTCTTCTCGCTTACGCCGCCGATTTCTGGTCTCCACTTCACCTTCAGACATAATACGGCTCGGACTGTCATTTTTGAGCTCCAACATCCCAGTCTCGGGAATTCTCGCGAGACGAAGGTTCTCCCTCCCAGCAGCCTTTGTGTTGAACGTGATCTTGACCCCCTGTTGTCCATCTTGGGCAACCCCAAAGGTGACCTTTACTCTTTCAAAAGCCGGTAGTGACTTTTCGATTTTGTTCATCTCCAACTCAGTTGTTCTAAGGTGAAGAGAAAATAAAGAAAAACCTCTTTATGATCTACTGTGTCCGTATCTTAACAAACCAAATAAAAATTGGACTCTTAACTTTAACAACAAGAAATTGGTATTAAAATTTCGAACGTTGGAAAAGCCTTGTCTGCTTATTGCTTGTAAAAAATAAGGACTAAACTTTGTTTGAACTTTGAAATTACCTTGGGGTCTGTATTGCTCGTCTGTTGATGCTGCTTCTTGGCGTTTTCTTCCGGTCACATCTTGTCTTGAAGGCGAAGTAGATCCAGGGGTTAACACAACTGTTCAGGCTGGCCAGCAGCATAATAATAACGAACGCCGGACCTGGAATGTTAGAGATAGAGTTAACATTAACGTCCTTTTCATATCATTTCCACAAGGCGCCACCAGTCTGTTCACTTTAGCTTTGGGCCACACAACTGTGCTGTGTCAAGCACAGATAATACTATAGCAGGGGGCTAGTCTGTGTCTTCAACTCCCAACTCTTTTTTCCCATAGGTACTGAGTGCACATACTAAGCAGGAGAGCAGTACATGTATGTACCATATTTAAAGTCTTTGGTTGCAAGCTGATAGGAATATTTCAATATGTCATGCCTCACATTTTGCCCTGTATTTTATTAAGAATTCACGATGAACCATTTTGATTATAGAGAATGCATCAGTACTCTCAATACTCCGAGCACGGATACCCTTGAATGTGAAGGATTTTTGAACTAGGGTTTCCATAAAGCACAAGCAAATTGCGACCCAAATCAATTTAAAATAAAGCATATCTACGGTCTCTATGCAATTTCATATCTTAATAATGTCATTGTCATGTTAGATTAGATATACACTTACTTACAATGGAGGATGCTACATAGTCATTTTGTTCCACTCAATTTACGGTTGCTTTGATGTTTCCAAAATTACTTCTATCAGTTTTTCGGCTCTCGAGTTGCTTTGAAGATAGCAGCTGTAAATTGGCACTAGGTTTGCGACTGCTGACTTCTCTATACGGTAGCCATTATAAAATGACATTGGGGTTGGATGCACGTGAATTATGTATGTGTTCGTCAGAAGGAAAAACCTTGAGAGAAACATATGTGAGAAAACAACTTTGAAAAAAAGATTAAAAAATTACAGCAGCCAAGTGAATCAAGTAGTGGTAAACGTGTACTCATAGTAGCCTTTTTGCATAAATAAAATGCAAATTATATAGAATAAAACATGCAGTTTCACTTCCATACATTTATCTGCCGGTATGAGACAACTCCTTGTATTGGGAGATTCTGCAAATGTACTAGCGATTCAATGTTGAATGATCGATTACTTAAATTATTTGCAACAACATCCCTACAGATCAGAAAAATAATGATTGCTCATCAGACCACTAAGTCAGTCATTAACATTCACTGGAGCAATGGTAACTCATGTCAATATTCTACCATACGAAAGTAAATTGCAAGTACCGTATGAATAGCTGCAGTTCTATCGTGTAATTTACCTGTAAATGACAAAGGTCCATGGTCTATTCAAGAGGGGCAATATAAGCTTGCTTTCATGTAAAAGTTCATTTGTTAAAGTTCTTTACTTTAACCATCTTTGGGTCCAAGCCAATTGAATTGAATTATATATTCCTGAATACTTTATCTAACTATGTCACATACGACATTGTGATATTATCAGTGCAATCTGTGCAATAATCATAGTACTTGACATTTACTCCAACACAAAGTGTACTCAAGAATCAAATTTTCAAGAATCAAATTATCAAACGGCCACTGTCGCCTTCAAACGTATCAGGTAGTTTATATCAACCCCCGTCTCTGTTAGTAGGTGCACACTCCCTGGCGCGTTTGACCGACTACTGACGTCACGTATCCGTAAAGTCTCGCGTGAATAAGGTCACGTGTCTGTAACTCTCGTGGGTTTACGTTGGGAACTGATTGGTCATTATTTATCCTGATGAAGGCGGCAGAAAACATAACCATTTGCGATGGATTAAAGTTTATCACTTTACTAAAACATTGTGCTTTTTCGAATAACTCCCAGCAACAATGCCATGTATTGGAATACGAAGTACTGTCCCTTTACCAAACACGTTGTCAGTCGCACTCCTAAATCAAGCACGCCCTTTTGACCTGGAGTCTAGATGCTTTCCTATAATTGCAAGGGACACTATTCAGGATCTAGCGATGTAATGTAATATGGCAATATTTCGCGTGAAAACACCGTTCAGGGGTATCAGTCGACCTCTTAATGTTCTCCCCGAGCTTTCCAACGCAGATAAATCTATAATTTGATTACTGACCTGGTAAGGTCTGTAATGTATACGTCAGACAAAATGACCGCCCATCAGAATGATGTTGTCTATGACAATACCCTGGATAAAAGTTCTATATTAAATGTTTCCAATGTGATTTTCTTTGAAATGTTGATATTCTGAATACTGTAAACCTGATATATTTTTGAATACTGTAAAATCATCGATGAGTTATCTTAAAATCAAAACTAGTCAGCCAACAAGAGACAAGTACTTTTTGCATTGCACTAGATTCCTATACACGCATACTTATACTTTTGCATGGCACTGGATTTCTGTACATACATACTTTTTGCATTGTACTAGATTTCTTTGCATACATACTTTTTGCCTTGCACTAGATTCATATACACACATACTTTTTGCCTTGCACTAGATTTCTGTACATGCATACTTTTATATGCATTGCACTAGATTTCTATACATAGATACTTTTTGCATTGCACTAGATGCAAATAGTGCTTGTAAATATATGTTTAAGTTCACACTAATACGTCACAGAAACGAAACATGTCATAAGGGTATAAGACCCACGGCGGCAGACGCTTTCTTAAATCCTTCTTAATGAAACTTCTCCACGCCTTGACCCTTAAGCTCAAGGAACTCGATGAAATACAACCTTTCCTTAGTTCCTTCACACCCAGTATGGAGCAATCTTCTGGGGATAAACCATTGGCTTTGCTCCATTTGCCGGTGTGCAATTTGTCTGATACCACAGTACATGAATACTGCGTCACAGAGACTCAAGTGCTATGAAATGCACTAAATATAATGTTTTACGTAATTAGCTGTTTACGTTTCTCGAACCAACAACTTTCAAGTCTTTATACTAGAGACAGATTTGAATATATCTTTACATGCAATGATTCCTACCATGCAAAAATAGGTAGATATATAAAAGACTGTTTAAATATGACCCTGTGTAAAAATGAAATAAAAATAAATATTGCAAAACCAAAATGCTAATTGCAAACAAAACAAAGCAAAACACCGGTATACATTGTCTGTATACTTGACACAGAAGAGAAATTAATCATATAACTGAATTCATAATGAAGTGATAACTATCAATATGATCCTAAATGTATTTCTACTTATTGAGGGGATTGACGTCTTTTCTAGTTAATTCTACATGCAGTGGAAGATGAATTGCCCAACGCTTTGGTAGATAAAGGACTTGGACGGTTTAAGCAACAAGATAGTTCTCTAGACATTTCTTCTCATATCGTTTATTAATCATGATTACCAAAGGTACTAATAACTGCACTGTGATTTAATTATCGTGTTTTGATTCTTCTCAAGTTGAAAATAAAATCTAGACAAGTAAAGTTGAGTTTCATGTCAGTGTTAAGGCACCGTTACTTATGAATCAATAATGTTTGGTCTTAGTTATAACTTATCCCATAGAGTAGGAGTGCTTGAGTGTAGCAGTATAGAGATCTAGACTATTAAGGAAAAGTGAAAGATGAATAGCATGAAACAATGTAGACAATTAGGATGAGTTTCATACCGGTGTCAAAGCACCATTACTATTAAGCTCCCGTAAATCAATGATGTTTGGTCTTAGTTATAACTTATCCCATATATTAGAAATGATTGAACGTAGCACTATATAGACCTTTAGTATTAAAGAGAAAGTGAACGATGAATAGCATGAAAAATGTAGACAATTAGGTAGATTTCGTGTCTAGACAGAACTTAAAAAATGACAGCAGTATTTAATAGCTAGCAAAGTCCTAAAAAATTAATGATGTTTTTTTCATGACAAATTTCCCACGGCACTAAATAGAATTAAATGTACCGCCAAAGGGACGTAACGAATTAAGAAATAATGGAGGCAAATTGCTCTGATATAATTCTAACACTAGCAGAGGGGGTGTTGAAATCCTCTGAGCTCGACCACACGTTCAAGTGCATTCTGAATCGATTAACATGTCTCTAATGATTGATTACGTGTACTCTTTGTTCATATTATTTGATTGTCTATGTCCTTTGTAACTTATTTTCTTGGGCTACCTTGGAAATCAGTTGTCCTAGGCTGACTACCACCCAACTGTTTTTAAGATCAATAGATAAATAAATTAAACTAAAATTTAGTAGGGCCCAAATTTGCTGCTGAACAGCACCAGTGTTTTGTCAAAGATTGAGCAGGACATGATGACGTCACGTTATGCAAATAGGGCACGTGACTAGGATGCATTGGATTATAAGTTTCAGCAAGTTTGTGACGCCCCCCGTCTATATTAAGGGATGATTGGGTATACGTCCCAGTTTTATCTTAATTCAGAATAAAGTCCACCGATAAAGATAAAGTTTCAAGTTACATTCTCTTGCTTTTATATTCATGCTAATTTATATGTTTTAAAAAATTACCTTTCTTGAATTTTCGGCACACTTTGGATCAATATGATTCTTCAAAGTACATCTCATAGACATGTTCTCAACACATTTAATTGAATTGTGAAATTAAATGTCAGGTCAATCAGGTCAAGGTACGTTATGTGTAATTGACCATTACTAGTGAAGCTTTTGAAAACGCGTCAGACAATGAATATGATAGTGTTCTGCCACTGATCATTTCACACTTCAGTTGTGCCCAAGGCACTAGGCAACGTACTAAGCGTTTTTGGCTCGGAGCCATCTTGTCAATGGAAGACGAATACGCCAATCGAACATCCCCGCTTTCGTGTGGAAGAGACCGGTCCCTATTGACGTTCAGACGACATCGGTAGTCTTTGAACTTAACGTTGATAGATGAAGTAACTGAACACAAGATAGCTCGAGCTATGTCCCTTGTGTACGCATCATATCTTCCCGCACGAAATGGCAGCGACTTCTGAAGGAAATAAATGCTTGCGGTGTCCATTCACCGTTCGTGGTCAATAAAGATGTTGCTAAGGTTTCAGAGTGCTTTTAATCTTTGGCAATGCTCCATTTCTTAGGCAACTTTTGATGCTATAGCCACTGACCTTCTAATAGCCACGCTTGGTAAAGGACACTGATACCGGAAAAGTACT